GGTCTTGGTAACGAAAGGATCTGAAAAGTTTCAGGAGATTGGTTTCAGGAGATTGGCCCGAAAGATAAATATCAAGGTTTCGGGAAAAGTCCTGATAGTCTTGGGAGGGATAGGCAGAGGCTCTAGGCTGGACAATTACAGAGAGAAAATTACCGGAAAAAGAAAGCGCCCGCAGCCAATTTACTGCGTGCAGGCTATCCCCGAGATTGACCCGAGGTGCCCGACTTTCGCGGTGGGTGGTGCCCGGATTGTGAACCGGCTCGCGCACACCGCTGCGGAAGCATGCATGGGCGCAGGTCCGTGCGTCGACGAAGAAAACAGATCTCGTCAGTGGAGACGACACACTCCTGCCATAATATGTGACAGCTGCTGGAATTTGGTACCATTAGACAGGGCAGGAATTATTATGGACGCTCTCTAGCTCTACCAGTTTTTTTTTTCTTAAAATTCGCGATACGGAGAATCGTTGGAGAGTGTAAGCGTGCGGGCCATGCTGCTGGCGCATGTGTCGAATTTCCTAACCTTTGGCATGGGTAAGCTTTGCTATAACTCAAATCTGGAAATTACGGCAGTGGCCATACCCTAGAACGATAGAGATACTCACCTTTTCCGTGAGATCATTTCGGAACCAAACACGCGGTTTGTGCTAGAATGATCAGTTTTGGCCAGTCTATATGTTGCAACGGTTTCTGTTTTAGCTATATCCAAAACATAACGGTTGCATATTTTAAGCTAGTCTGCAGCCGACGACTTTGTTAGTGCTCGACTGTAGTCTAAGTGTGGACAGCACGCAGGAATTTCATCCATGCTCGTTCCCCTCGTCCTTCCCGATAGGCAGCGCCGAGGCCATTCCGTTTAGATTCGGTGCCCATAAGTTCGCATGTGGCTGTAGGTGGGGTTTAGTTATTCTGTGGGGTGATCGCAACCGATTATCTGACGGAATGAAGCAGTTGGGTGGTCGGCGGAGTAATATACCCTCGCTTGCCGGGCCATTTTTATCCCTAGGGCTGGGTCGCTGCTCAGACCATCCAGGTAGGAGCTTTAGGTGGGATATATGCTCATAGTGTTTATTAAATTGGGGGGTGGTCCTACGCTTATCTCACCGACCTAGGGTTGCAATTCACTTGATCACAGTTTTGTGTGGAATTGCGAATACGCGGGGCTCCAGACCAGAAGCTTGAGAGACAGGGAATATGCTTCTGGGCGCTCGTGCACTCGTACATTCAAATAGCGGTCTACCTTTATTATTAGAATTTTTTTTTATTCAGCGGTGCGTCGGCAATATTGGTAGTCTTTAGGTCTTATGTATGATATTGTTATCACTGCGTGCATACTGCGGGCTGTGTTGATGTCTTTCCCAATTGGGTGTTAATGGATTTATAAATACCCAGGAGCAATGTAAAACGCTGACAGCTGACGGTTGTCTGATTCGCACCCACGGATAAATGCATTATTTTTAAAGATATAAATCAGGACATAACCTTTGGGTAAGTAATTTAAGGAAATTTGGACCTTGGAAAGAGTCTATCCGCCGCTTGCAGCTAGAATCAATAGAGTGGTATTGGCAGCTGCATGTGAGATGGTTTGTCCCGAAAATCTGTCGTGTTAAATTACGACCTGTCCGTCGGAAGTCCACAATCCTGACAACGCCCAGTTTCCAACAAAAATACGATTCCCGACAGCACTCTGGTTCCAAAAACGATATGGCCGTGATCGAAACATCACCCGGTACCTAGAACGTTTTTGGGTGGTATCGATCGTTAGACAGCGATGTGAAACAAAGCAAAACACATCGTCTAATACCCAGGCAATGAAGAGGTTGTACACCTGTGGCAACCTAGACGAGATTTCAGCTGGAGGGGTTTCCATCTTCAACCGGAAGATCCCTCTATTTCACTTACATCGCTTAGAGTGGTCATTCATGATAAAACGTACTGGGATCGAGCGTGTAGTTAGGCTAAGCCCTGAACTTAATAAGTCGGGCGAAGGTGCCATGGAGGTGGTTCGGTTTTACCACGAAACCGGATTAGGTTCTCGCAGAATTTAATTGTTTCGGGTAAGCTATGGGATATACACCACTGGGTATAACGTACAAAGCACGAACTTGACAAAATACGTGGGCAAGAAGAATTTACATTATAGGAACGCTTGAAAGTGAAGAAATAATGCTAGAAAGGTTATAACTCGGCAAGAAAAGAACTCAAGTTACAACTTTGCCAGATAAAGCACAAGCCAATACTTTTAATGGAGCTTCACCTTGGAGAGAATTAATATAGAAACTGGCAGAGCTAAAACATTAAGACGCTAGAACCCAAGTTGGCCAAACTCATTGGAGAATATAATACAGTAGGCAAGATACATTGTCATCTTTATTGTCATCTTTATTGTCATCTTTTAAAACATATCCGGAAGCTTGTGAGTGTAGGTGACAAACTTATCCGCAACCTCCAAGTCAAAGGCATCGCCTAACTCGGCAATACTCAACAATCTAACACTAGAATCGTGGTCGTTGGTCTTTCCCACAATCTCGTACTTTTTGCCGGCGGTCAACTCCTGTTCGGTGGTCGGAGGTAATTGAACGTGGATCTGGGAGGCGGGAGAGCTGGTTTCAGAGGTGGAGAGCAAAGCGTGACCGGAGGCCTGGTCGATTGATTCGATTTTGCCGATGACTCTGACGATCTTGCCTTTGAAGTTTGGCAACAACTGGGCGTTGACTCTAACGTTAGCGGCGTCCATAATTATTGTATAAGTATTAGCGGAAGATAGAGAGGAAGATGGGGCAATTGGACAAGGTCTAAGGGCCGATGAGGGATTGGAGGGTATGTTGTGAAGGTGAATAAAGGATGTGGCAAATGAAAAATACGCGTCTGTTTTTTTTCACGTGTCGGAGGCAACACGACGTGTCGGTCACGTGATATAGTGGTTTAGCCACGCCCATGTCACCAATAAACATAGATCGAACACGGATTTGTAAATGTATTTCATTAGCGGTGGTTGGGAAAAGACCAGAGGTGTGATATTCAGGTAGCAGAAAAAGCAGCTGGCCATCCGGTGCTTTCTACGTCGGTATGCCAAGAACAGTGGGTCTTATTGGTCAATGTAGTCATCCTAGGCTCTCTATGTTGTTATAGCCTGCTCATGTCTTGTTTATATCGAGCCACAAAATGTTTCTGTTCAGCTGTACAACATTATTATTGATAATCACTTCATCCAATACTCCAGTTCTATCTAGGCGCAGAGCTCACGCCGCGGTCGTTCCCGGCCCATTTTTTTGCGCTACGCCCGTGATGAGTCAAACGCACGCCAAAGACTTTACTTTCTACCGAGGAAAATCTCGCATATTAAATATTGCCCATGTACATCCTTGTTTCTGCTTCTTTCCAACCAATCCCACCATGGCGTCCCAACTCTCCAAATATGTCATTATGATTGACAACTACGACTCCTTCACCTGGAACATCTACGAGTACTTGTGCCAGGAGGGTGCGCGCGTGGACGTGTTCCGTAACGACGCTATCACACTCGCAGAGATCGAGGCCAAGAAGCCAGACATGCTCTTGATCTCACCCGGGCCCGGGCATCCGAAGACAGACTCCGGGATCTCTCGCGACGCTATTGACCACTTCAAGGGCAAGATGCCAATCTTCGGAGTGTGTATGGGCCAACAGTGTATGTTTGAGGTCTTTGGCGGCGAGGTTGCGTACGCAGGCGAAATCGTGCACGGCAAGACGTCACCAATCACCCACGACGGCAAGGGAATCTTCAGTCAGGTGCCACAAGGCATCGCCATCACCAGATATCATTCCTTGGCCGGTACCGAGACCTCCCTCCCGGAGTGCTTGGAAGTGTCGGCACAGACGGCCAACGGGATCATCATGGGAGTCAGACACAAGAAGTACACGATTGAGGGTGTGCAGTTCCACCCGGAGTCCATCTTAACCGAGTCCGGCCACTTGATGATCAGAAACATGTTGGCCATCACCGGGGGAACCTGGAAGGAGTATGGCCGCTTGGAGTCGGAGGCCGACGCCTCGGCTCCGCTGCAGAAAAAGTCCATTTTGGACACCATATACGACCAACGCAAGCTCGACGTCGCCGCGACGCAGCGGTTGCCGGGCCAGTCCTTTGAGCAGTTGACCAAAACCCTCAGCCTAGGCATTGCCCCGCCACAGATTGACTTCTACCAGAGATTGCTCGCGGGCAAGCAGGACAACAAGTTGGCGTTGGCGGCCGAAATCAAGCGAGCCTCACCATCCAAGGGTGACATCGACATCGATGTCAACGCGGCTGAGCAGGCTATCAGGTACGCGCGTGCGGGCGCGTCAGCCATCTCTGTGTTGACTGAGCCACACTACTTCAAGGGCTCCTTGGGCGACCTCAAGTTGGCCAGACAGGCAGTGGGGTTGTTGGAGAACCGGCCAGCGATCTTGCGCAAGGAGTTTATCTTCAGTAAGTACCAGATCGCGGAGGCCAGGTTAGCGGGCGCCGACACTGTGTTATTGATCTGCAAGATGCTCTCCGGCGCCGAGCTCCTGGCGTTGTACGCGTACTCCAAGTCGTTGGGTATGGAGCCGTTGGTGGAGGTGAACTCGTTGGAAGAGTTGAACAACGCGGTGAAGTTGACTGGTTGTAAGGTGATTGGAGTGAATAACCGAGACCTACACTCATTCGAGGTGGATTTGAATACGACGTCGAAATTGGCTGGTTGTGTTGGTGACGACGTCATTTTGTTGGCGTTGTCCGGGGTCTTTTCCAGCAAGGATGCGAGAAAATACAAGGGAGAAGGCGTTTCCGGGGTGTTGGTCGGCGAGGCTTTAATGAGAGCGGGTGAAGGGGTGGAAGAGTTTGCGAGGTCATTGATTAACGCCTAGCGAGCGTGAAGCATAGGACTTAAGTGAAGCTGATAATATTGTAGTTAGCACTTAGTCTACATCCTAGTAAACCCCCCGAAGGTGACTAAATATAGATTTATACAAATGATATCTAAATTATAAATATATATATACGAAAACTGATAAAAGGATTAAAAAACGACTCGCCAGAAAAAAGCAGGAACAGAAAGGGAGTCCCAAGAAAGAAAAAAAAAGCAATATAAACAAGCAGATTAAAATGACAATATGTATGGATACATTTGAGATCGACTAACAAATGTGGTATAAGGGGCGAATCACTGAAATTCCTATAGACTTGAACTCCTGGAACACTATCACACCTAGAGAACCTGCCTTCCATTAGACAACGTCTTGATTAATCCCACAGCCGTCGTCACACTCGGAATCTCCAACGAAGTCCGCGGACGGTCCATTGACCTCCGCATAGGCCCTCTCTCTTCCGCCATCGATCGTCTTGTGCGCTCCAACGACGTTCTCGCTTCCGCCTCAGGGAAGCCCTCACCATATGTTTCAAACAATGATGGCGAGCCGTAACCCGAAAGCATAGTCGAGCGGTTCGGTCTGGTTATATTCAAGTCGGTCCCACCAACCGTGGCGGTTACCATAGACGACACATCCGAGGACATGCTCATGCGAGGAGCGTCCATGGACTTCCCTCTGGAGTAGTCCGAAATCTTGACTCTGTCTGGGTCGGTAGGATCGTAGTTCAACGGATAAGCAGCAAAGTCGCCTCTGGCCACACACTCCCTGACGATATCAACATCCTTAGGGAAGTAGAGCTTCTGAGCAAAGTCATAGGCAAAGCGCGGCAAGATACAGGCCATGATCCCAACAAACAAGCATACCCAGAAGGACGCAGAGCCGTAGACCTGCGACGCTGCGTTGTAAAACTCCTGCGAACTGGTGAAACTCGTCCAGACCCCGGTCCAGCCAAACACAAGCAAGATGGAGACCGCCACAAGCAAGCTCAGGAGCCAGTCCCAGCGATACTGGTGGAACAAAATGTAAATATTGCATGCGGCAGCAGCTATAGTGGCCACATACATCCCCATCCAGAAACGATGGTCGCGGGTCAAGCCGTCCATTCCGACAAAGCCTTTGTAGAAGCAGAGGTACGGGAAGTAGAAGGAGATGACCGACTGGTAGAGCCCGTCCCCCATATACCACCAGAACTTCGTAATCGTCCACTCGCTGCGCAAGATACCAGTCTTGTACAACTGCGGTACCAAGAGCGACACCACATCCGAAACGTCCTGGTCGACAATGCCCATTAAGACCACCGGAATCGACGTGAAGGCAAGGTTATAGAACATCAAGTAGGTGTATTCAAACAAGTAAGAGCCGTCAAAGTCGTTATAGATCCCGTACCAGAAAAGCGCAATGGAGAAAATCACGTTCTTGTAGAAAAAGCACGGAACCATCTCCGACAACCGCTTGTACGACCAGCGACCGTGGACCAAGATCAACCGAGTGAGGAAGCGGAACTGGCCAATGGCGTAGTCGGAAGACATCACCGCCTGGCGACCCTCCTCGCCCGCAATGCCCACCCCCACGTCCGCCGCCTGGATCATCGCCACGTCGTTCGAACCGTCGCCGATCGCAAGGGTCATGACGTCCAACGTTTCCTTAACCATCTTTACCACCGCCGCCTTCTGCGCCGGCGAAACGCGGCAGCACAACACAGCCTTGCACTGCTTGCAGAGGAGGAGGAACTTGCGCTGGGTCTCGCCCTGGAGAGCAAGTTTGAGCGCGTCACCATCGATAACCACCCCAAAGTTCGGATTCGGAGGCGTGTGGTCGCCCTTTGCGGCCACAAGCTCCTCCATCGAGCCCTGCAACTGGAATTTGGCCAAGTACTTGGTGATGAGCGCATCCACAATCATCTTTGGCTCCTGCGAGCCATCCACGAGCCTCGCAATGTCCTCGCCCTCCGTTTTGATCACCAACAACTCCATGTCGTTCCCAAGCAAGTTGCATGAAAACCCAATGTTGATCGCGGTCTCGACCTTGTCCCCGGTGAGCACCCACAACTTGATCCCCGCCTGGCCAAGGATGGCAATCGAGTCCGGAACACCGTCCTGGAGTCTGTCTTCAATAGCGGTTCCCCCGAGCAAAATCAACTCCCGCTCAATGGAGTCTGCCACCTCCTCCATCTTCTCCTCACGCTTGGTGATTGCCGCCAGCGCGATCTCGTGCTTGCGGTTCCACTCCTCGTACTCCGTCCACGACAACTCGCGCTGTGCGATGCACAACGTCCGGAGCCCCTCCGTGGCAAACTCTTCAAGGTGGAGAGCCGTCCGTTCAAGCAAGTCCTGGTCGTTGTCCTTGCGCAAACGCGAGTAGATGATCGAATCCGCCCCCTTGCAGATCAACAACGCCTTTGGCGGCTCGGAAGGGTTCGCAGACGGGATCTTGACGATGGCGCTCATGCGCTTTCTCGTCGAGTTGAACTCCAACGTGTTAAGGATCTGGTATTCCTTGTCCTCACCCTGCACATTCACCACGAGCCCCTTCTTCGTTCGCAGAAGGAACGTGAACCCCGTGTCGCGCGCGGTCCCCACAAGCGCCGCCTCATCCGGCGACTGCGCCTTGTACACGAGCTTGTCCGGGTCAGTCTTGGACGGCTCGGCAATCACCGAGTGGCACAAGGCGAGCGTGAGCATAAAGTGTTCGTTGCACTTCTGTTGGTACCCCCCCTTGGCACCGTTCAAGTCATCGACATACTCGCTGGAGACGAAGGTGACCTTTGCCTCCGTGAGCTGCGGGTTGCGGTTGATTGCGTGGAGCTTCTCAAGCATTACGTCCTTGTCGATGCGGATCAACTCGCGCTCACGCGCACCCTCGGACTCAACGTCGATGCCCTGGCGCTTGCGCATGCCCGCGAGCGCCTCGGTATACGCCCGTCCGTACGTAATCCCGTTGATCGTACACTTCTTGTACTCCATCACGTTTTGGGTTAGTGTCCCGGTCTTGTCGCTGAAAATGTACTCGATCTGGCCGAGGTCATCGGAGATGTTCCAGGATTTTGGTGTGCACGGGTAGTCGAGACGAGCGTAGTACATGAGCACATCGCTGTAGATGAAGAACGCCTGGGCAGTCTTGATGATCTCAATGGAGATATAGAGGGAAATCGGTACCAATGACTGGTAGAGAATGACCGCAACAAAGCAGCCAACGATCCCGTTGGCGGCGGCGCCGTTAGCAATGTCACCAAACTCGTAGAACTGGCGCGACTCATTCTTGCGCGCGTAGTACACCCCGTTGACGATCCCGGATACGAAGCAGATGACAAACAAGAGAACAAAGTTGAGGAGCACGGAAACGTTCAACTCGCGTGTAATACGCGAGCGCTTTGTCGGCGTGATTCCCGCGTTGAGAACGATCTTCGTGTCGGTTCCGGTGAACACTACAATCCCCACGGCCCATTTCGTGTTACGGAGCGAGCACCCTCTAAGCAACATGTTGTTGATGGTGATTGCTTCGTTGGAAACCTCTCCGCGTTCCCACTTGAGATTCCCTTGGTACGAGTAGAGGTTGGCGTGCGGACCTTCACTCTCGAGCCAGAACTTCATGCGCGAGCAATCGGCCGCACGCTGGAGACGGCCGCCACACTTCAACGCCTGGCGCACCTTCAAGTTGGTCTCACCGTCGAGGTTCTTTGTCTCGACGTAGCAGGCACCATCGGCATCGGACGTTGCAAGAATCGCCACGTCCGCCGGGATTTCGTCGTTATTGTGAATGCGCACAATGTCCCCAACCTTGACGCTCTTCCAGTACAGCTTGCGGAAGCGTACAGATGTGTCAAGCGGAAGCGACGGATCAAGGATCGTGTTCACGGCGTTGCTGTCGGTGAAAGGATTGGAGAGGTCGGCCATCTGGAAGGACTTGCGGCGGTCGTCGGACATGTAGCTGTCAAAGCTGTCGCGCTGGAACAGCTTACGGGGCGCATCCTTCCTCGCGGCCTCCTCCTTATCACGCGTCCGCTGGACGCGGCCGTCCTTTGTAAACACCCCATTGAAGTAGCGGAACGTCACGACGACACCGCGCGTGCACGCCTTCTTGAAGCGGCGCCACGCAGAAATGTTGTCGTCGGAAGTGTTTGCGTTTTCCACCCCCTGGAGAATGTGGGTCGGCGTGTTGTTCACCTCGGCGTCTAATAACGTGCGCCGTGAGTCCTCAATCGCGTCCTTCACGGCCGTAATAACCACAATAACGATGAGCGGAACAGCTGACACAGCCGGATTCGGGACCCCAAAGATAGAGAAGAAGCCCATCACGATCAAAATGAGGAAGTACACATTCGCCACGTTCTTGAACTGAAATGCGAGATTCTTTGGCACGAATGAAAGCGGCGTGTACTTGGTCGTACGGACCTTGTTGCGGGGGTATGTAGCAACCGGCTCGCGGGTGGAAGGGTCGAGAAGGTCGTCCGGGAGCGGGAGGTTGAAGTAGATCGTGCGGAGCTCGTTCTTGCGATCGTTCTCGTCGTCCGATTCGTCTTCATCCACGTGGTCGGTCGAGTTGCGCCGGGAGAGTGGTTTCTGGCTGGTCTGGCGCTTCCAACGGAGCGTCTTGGAGCGCGCCATCCCTGCGGGTTTGCCCTTTTTGGTGCGCTGGGTCCCCCACCGGTGCCGCTTCATCGTGTCACCCTCATGGCCCGTGTGGTTATCCGGGAGGTGGAGCTGGATGTGCGGGGGGTCACGGGAAGCGTCGGGGGGTTCTTCCGAGTACTCGATGGAGCGTTCGAAAGCGTCGCTGAGCTTCGGCGTGGTTTGTCTATATGGGTTGGTGGCTTTTGTGGGACCGGGCCTGGAGGGCAAGCCGGGCCCGGAGGGCACTCTGGAAGAGCCAGGTGAAGCGTATGGGCCAGTTTCAAACTCAAACGTATCCATTACTGGCGACTTCATGATGGAATCCATGTCCGATACGTCTGTCTGAAGCGACTGTGGACGGGTTCCCCCGAAATTCGGCGCCATATCGGAAAACTCCATGTTGTCAAACTGCTCGGCGATGGGCGGATAAGGCGACTCTTCAAACGGCGACTGCTGGCGCGCGCTTGGTTTGCGTGGAGTGGGCATTGTAAAAGAGGGGTAGAGTTAGTGCACCCGGCTTTCCTCTGCTTGGGTAATGAGGCGGAAGGAGAAGAAAAAGAAACTCTGGGAAGGTTAGGCAGATCAGCCAGGGTGATATGGACGGTTAGGGCTTAAGGGAAAAGCTTCTAATGGTGGCTTCAGGACCCAGAAATTTCAAAGAGGTGCTTCCAGCGGAAAAAGGGCTCTTGGAATAACACTGGAGGCTTTGATGTGTAAACTTTGTGCAAAGGGATATGCGTCTTTTTTCGCTCGGCTATTCCGGAAGAAAGCGGCAGCAGAATGTAGCAAAGAGCGATAAGGATGTCCGTCGCAAAAGTGTTCTTGGGTATCTGATGCAGACCGTAGAACAACAGATAGAAAAGTGTGGTTAGAAGAAAGCGAACTATAACGGTTATCACAGAAAGTGGATTTTGTCAAGGCGCTTAATTAGCGTTTACGTATCCTGACTAAAATTTTCTGTGCGCGACTGGCCGCACTGCGGAATTACTAAGAACACGCGCTAGAAAAATAGGTACGTCATGGCATGCAGCCCCGGCACGCCGGCGAGAAAAGGAGCCTCTGCCGGAACGCGGAAGCACGAGTGCTAACGATGGCAGGGTTTTTATGAGGGCTGTGCCAATCGTTCATCTCCTAATGGTTTCGATGGAGAGTCAACTGTCTTGTCTTCTCAAAAGTGCCGCGCTCCGATCTCCCTTCCTGTAATTTTAGGGGGCTACAATGCGTCGATATTGGCTTACAAATACCCTTAAGTATATCTCTACCAAGTTTCCTTTGAAATATTTATATATCCACTTTTGAAAGCCAAACTCTAGCTGGTATCTTTCCGCCACTTCTGAATGGTCCTAGCACATTAATATTCGATCCCGTCTACGCGCTGATTGGAAGGATCGTGCATGTTGTAACCCCTGGCTATTGTGCCCTAATCCACTGTTCGGGCGCAGCTACACGCCCAGTTGTCAGGTGGCTCGAGTCCTGGTTTTTTTTTTACCCGTGTCTCTGGGATTTCATCTTTATATCCTCCGGCAATACCATAATGCGGGTATTTCGGAGAGATTCCGGCTTCTACCAGCTTACGCCTCCATCCCCATCACTCTTGGCGTGCTTGGCAGCCGCTAAACTCGTCCAAAAGCTGGGTACAGGGTCCACTAATCCGTGTTGGCATTGCACTAAGGCCAACTGATTCTTTCTTGGAACCGCCACAAGCCTACCATATTGCAGGACATGTCTGCGAGCCGCAGTGAAAAATTCCCTCCACATGCAATAGCCGGAGATATCCTGCACTTTTCTCGCACTAAGCCCCGTGGCCTGCAGAGACGCGTCGCACGCCCGTTCCAAGCCTCAGCATAAACCGGAGATTGATGGTGCTGGCTACTGGTCCCGCACAAGACGAGAATAGATCATGAGCTATTTTATTAGCCATCTGCGATATACCCGGGGGATCCAAACAGCCTGCAGTGTAGCCTACCGCCTAGCCCAAGTAAGTTCCGTATCCACTATACGCGATGTGTTGCGAGGATCTATGGTAAAGTCAATGGCAGCTGCCGGGAATTTGTCGTTTTCACGGTGACGTAAGCGGCATTATCTGAACAGCTCACTCCCTGACAGCATACAAATAGATGCAAAAGACATTAGATGGTGCTGATAATGCGCCAAACGTCAGGGCCTCCACTAAAACTTTCTCACCCCTATATCCGTAGTGTATTTCCTCCGACGTTTTCAAACCTAATTTCACTTTTGGTTTCAGCCAGCTCTACGGCTGTTTTTTTTAAAAAAAAAAAAGCTACGGTATTGACCTCAGAGCCTGCTGCACATCACTGGGATGCGCCATACGACCCCGTCCATGTCATACGGTACTAAGCCGTTCTCCAAGTCCGGCGGCCCAGTGGTGAACCGTGCCCAGAACTGTTTGCTGCGATATGGAGACTTAAACCTAAAGTCGCGACGCAACGGATCTAGAGATGTGGAACCCCTCTTTTTCACTGTATTGCTGAAGTAGCGCTTTCCGTAAGCTTCGAGATCGCCAATTTCATCCCCTTCCAAGCGCCCGACCTCGAGCCCATTCTCTGCTGCATCTAGCATCACACAAAGGTCCTTCTGGAACACGTTAATAAAGTTGGAATCGTCGCCGGTGTTTAGAAAGTAAAACAACGCGTCGTGGTGGCTGAAGAGAGAGCTTGGAAACGCCAACTCCGCGTAATATAACGTAAATCCGCTCTTTGCAAAGTGCCCCATCTCCTCTATGATGAACTCAGCGTCAAAGAGCATGGAGGAGGCGCTCGAGCGAAACCATTCTGGGTCTACCTTGAACACCCCCACTTGCAACAAGCAAAACTGGTTGTCCTTGGGCAACAAATCATTGATCATCGGAGACGTTAGGTAGTCATACTTCTTGTAAAACCTCAAGTGGTCACCCAGACTACCTGGCGACTGGAGCGCAAGCGAAAACTTCATGGTTCCGAGACCACGAGGGGCCGCGTTTCCATTTACAGCCACTGCTAGGTTCAAGTTATACACCTCGTTTGGCTTTACCGAGATCTGGAACCGTTTCCTGATCTCAAACAGGTAGGACTGAACCACCGTGAGATAATTGCGCTCCAACGGGTTATTATCGTCGATCTGGATATCCTGCTTCTGGAAGAAAAACCGCTTGCTCTTCAAGTGCGAGTAGACGTATACCCACGAGTCCCCAATATAGGTGAGTCTGCAAATAGAAGCAACGGATTGGGGTCCGCTAAGGGCGGTGGCATCTAACCCCGGGTCTGCCAACCGTTCCTTCCTGGCTATCAAAATCCGCCCCGTTTTTCTGATCGGATCAAGCGACTTGACATACTTGCGCAAGGATTGGATAATCTTGGGGGCGGTTAAAACCCGGTCCAAGTAGAGGAGTCCAAACTCCCGCACCGTCTTTTCAAACATCAATTGATTGTATATCGTGTAGTAATCCGTGTCTAGCAACTTGAGCGTGTTGATGGAGAGGGTCGTGTCATATCTACTGGACGCAGAGAGGATATTGAAGAGCTCCCGTTTAAGTTCGTAGGGTAGATCGGTGAGGGGGTTCATAGTGGTGTGAGCGTTTTATATTTTCTCAGGACCCTAAGTGTAATATTTGAATGGCCCTAAGGCTTTTTTTTAATGCTCAAAGGACGAATCCGTCATGTTTGATTGTGTGGTGATTGCTGGCTAAGGGACACCCCGGCGATATAGGAGTGCGGCTACCATCTCGGGACACCAAAATGGATGGCCGATATATAGAATGGACGCTGAAATGAATAGCCGGCATCAGAAACAGCTGACAACTATCGTAGATTGATTAAGGTTAAAATACCTAGCTTCCTTGCTGAGAACAACTCGGGATCCTGTCAGGGCACAAAGGCTCCATTTGTCTTACATAGTTCGACGCAACCTTTGTCACACGAAGGTATTACCAGTAAGGTACGCTAAGGCGATCCCGGAAAACCTGAGGGGTCTGTATTTTCATAAGCCCTAGGAGTTTGCAGTACAAAGATCCGGTCAATAATGCTAGTCCTTGCTATATGCTTACCCATTTTGGAACACCAACGTTGCTAGCCTGGTCGTGCCCCACCGTCTATCCTGCACACAGTCTCCACTTCTTCTAGAACTTTCACAAAATCCTCGATCTGGAGCAAATCCGACGAGGCACGAAAACGTTACATAAAGCGGCGATATTTCAGCTTTTCCTTACAACTTATTCTTTGGATAAAATCGAAACTACTTAAATATGTCTCTTTCTCCTCAAGGTATGTCGAAGATAACGAGCTGAGGGGTTATAAACGATTGCTGACCGAAGAGCCACCTGAGAGATGAGTGGCAAACATCTTGCTTGTACTGGAGATTGTTTCGATGGACAAAAATTGGAGAAATAATCCATGACAGGGACTCAAATCGGGTGGTGCTTACAGATATCTACTGAATGAAAAGGCATGAGTCAATGGTTATCCAATGATTGTCGGATGGCTCTCCGACGAATGTTCTCCATTGTGCTTCCAATGGCCCACTGTGTGTCCAGCAATCGGCCTCCCCTTAGCCAGCTCTCTATCTTTTCCCAATACTAACCCCTCAGTTTTATGGGCGCAGCGCTCTAACGCGACCGATGCTGACAAGAACATTGTCTACCTCACCATCAAGCTCGCGGACACTGAAAACGTCAAGATCGATCTCACCAACACCCATCTCGTCTTCTCCGCCACCTCCAATGACAAGCCGTACGAGTTGAACCTCGAGTTCTTCAAGGCGATTGACGCGGACAAGTCCAAGTACGAGGTTACCGGCTCGCACATCTTCTTCAAGCTCTTCAAGGCGGAGATGCAGGAGGAGTTCTGGCCTAGATTGATCAAGGAGAAGTTGAAGTTGCACTACCTCAAGACCGACTTCGACAAGTGGGTCGATGAGGACGAGCAGGATGAGATCAAGGACGAAGTTGCCGAGCCTGACATGGGTGGCATGCCGGGTGCGGGTATGCCAGGTATGGGCGGTGCCGGCGGCATGGACTTTGCTTCCATGATGGGCGGTGCGGGTGGTGCTGGCGGCATGCCAGACTTTTCCTCCATGATGGGCGGCGCCGGCGGTGCTGACGGTGCTGGCGGCATGGACTTTGCCAAGTTGATGAGCCAGATGGGTGGCATGGGTGGCGAAGGTGGCGAAGGCGGTTTCGACATGAGCAAGTTGGCTGCCATGCAGGAGCAGCTCGGTGCCGAAGGTGAGGATGTCGAAAATGCCGAAGATGCCGAAGATGCCGAGTAGACTAAACCATTGGTAATAAGCTGATATTACGTGATTTTCTGTAGTAGTTGGAACATGAGACAGTTTGTATATATACGTCATGGATCGTGTTTAGGAGAGGTCAAGGCGATGGGAAGTCGCTTTGTAGATTTGATGGCAGAGATGACGATCCGTGAGCGGAACGGTAGGTTGAAAGGTACGGGTGAAGGCAAGCGTAAAGGTGTAGTTACCACTGTTTGGGCTACAGGTATTCGAGATGTGGTTTCGAGGTTATGGCTTGGGTAGATAGTTTTGTTAGATGTACTGTTTACCACTACCTCCCGGGCAGGCTGGTACCGGTAACGCAAGAATGTGACCTCAGTGCCCATATCTGATTAACTACGTAGCTTTCTTAGTATTGTCTCAAGAATATCTTGTTAGCCCGGTAATTCGTGTATAAACTCACTGGAACCTTCCAGTTTTCTTACCACTTTGCAAAAGTGGTGTGGGGTATTCCAGTGCCTCACATCTCTCATAGCATTTTTATTTATGAGGGAATCTTCTTGGTCTTGTCTATGGTCAATTATATTCTCTCTAGTCTTCCCACTTTCCGTCTAGTTTAAGCCTTTGATCATAATGGTTGACCAGGAATTAATTTATATTCTTTCTGATGAATTATATGGCTCCATGAGTAATGGGGCTACGTAGAAAATCGGCATTCCTATATTTATAGTTATTTCAGTTTATTCTAGATGTATCTCCTATTTCTGTTGCATCTTGGTTACAATTTAGTATGGTAAAGGTTAGGTAGCTTTCAATATGTCTGATATTAGCAAGTCGTGAATCTCATAACATGTGAGCCAAGTTTTCCTCGTAGATCACCATCTTGTCCTCTAGCAATTATCCAAACCGTATTATCAGGGTACTGGAACCTCTCCTATTTTTTTTTTTTTTTTTAACTCAGCCGTAAGCAGTGTACCCCACGTTCTCTCTCCTTCTCTTGTCTTTCTCGTACCCATCCATCATCCTTGAAATAAGTACGAGAACCAGTTTGTTCTGCTCGATGCTTGCGCGATTCATCTCAGCGGTAGCTTCCGAGCGGACTTGGTTCTGCTGCAACACCGACTGCATCATTCCCAACAAGGTCTTGTCTTTTTCGGTAATCTGACCGGGTTCGGTGTCATCTTGGGGCACGCGAGCGAGACTCTGGGATAGCTTTGGCTGATGTGGCTTGTCATTGGAGTACTCTTCCACAAGGGTCCTATCCCCTTCAATGTCAGTGGTTACGGTATACAGCAGACATATCGCGGGATTCTCTGGTGCTCTCCAAGAATAAGTGTAACCTTCTATTGGCTCATTCGCTGCAAGGCTGATAACCCCACCACTAGGAGATGTCACCACCGGGTCCACCGTGGCCCCCATTCTCTCCTCTGTCTCTATTCTCATTTGAATCTCTCTTTTAGCTGAATTCTCGGTGTTTCCTATTCCCGCTTGGCCTGCTGTCTTTCTTTGTTGACTAACCACCGCCAGGATTCTGTCCCAAACGTCACGGTTTTTACCACCCTTTCTGGACATATCCACGATGTAGTCCACCCGCTTTCGCACTTTGATGGGCGACCATTCTACCGAGGCAGAGCTTTGCGTGAGGTCATAGGATATTAGCCTCAAGGCCTCGCGGAACGCCTCGGTTCTATTAGAAAACCTGTATGGCGCGTGCTTGAGCAAGGATGCGAGCAACTGCGAATCGTCTTTCTCTGAGAATTTGGACATGGAATATTTTGAAATGTACTAGCTAAGAGACTTTTGAGGCTAAATCAATAATTTTGATAATGGTGCGACTAAATAGCACCTCTGAGCTTTGGCAAAAACCGGTCTGTTTTGCTGAATCACAGGCTGCATGCGCATGCGTCAGTGCCCCGCAATTTGCCTCCCAGCAAATTACAAGTTTTATTAAAAGTATTGCGGGTTAAATGGCCATTTAGGTAATAGTTCACCTATCTCTCCGCAAAGGTATATCAGACACTTGTCACTGCAGGGGAGTTGTTGCTCAAACGAAATTCTCGAGAGATTCCCGGTTGTAGACATTCTGTTGCAGACCATGTTTTTTTATAGCCGAGGTGTAATGTATTGCAGGGTCTCATATTCTGAGTATCTTCACAGTTCACTATATCGATTTATTTCCTAGTATATAACTATCCTATTCCTAGAGTAATTGGGAATATTCAGCTACCCCCAGAATCTTGCCATTCTTAGCTCGCTTTCAGTCAATTATTATCTCTTAGAACATCTCGTATGCCGCAATCAGACGTTTCCGGTCACTTGAGACTCCCATGTGACCAAGCCACCTTCCAGGAGACCCTGAGCTCACCACCTGCTCTAAACGTTATTGCGGCTCGCCCATTCTCCCGCACTTAATTGGTCCGCCTTATCCTATCGAAGACGCTTAAGCCCGCTAGCTTATGTCTGGCGCGAATCCCAACCAGCGCGCACGTGGCGCATGTCGATTCTTCCGTTTTCGGCCTCCCCTAATTAATTAATGTACCACATGCAGGTCGCTCAGGTCCTTGGGGCCGTCCTCGGGAAACGGCTCGGTTTTCTTGTGGAGGCCTGTTAGGTCTTTAATCAGAATTTCTTGACTCAGAACTAGTGGAGAACTCCGGCCTAAGCCCAGAAGAAAGGTATACTTGCATATAAGTCGCTATGGCCAACGTACCTGAAGGTATGTCTAACATTCCCTTAGCCCACCGGATTACTAACAGCCTAGTTTTATGGGCCCAGCGCTCACATGTCACTGATCCCAGCAGAAACCTGATCTCTCTCGCGGTAAAGGTTGTGGACCCAGACCATCTCGAATCACACCTCACAAACACATCCTTGACCTTTTCCGCGCTGCGATTGAAAGCCCCAGATCTCCTGGGTCACGCTTCAACGCCCCACACCATAAAATACAAATTCCATATTGACTTTTTCGACAACATTGACTCTGAAAGGTCGCACTACGAGGTCACAGGATCGCATGTTTTATACAAGCTTTTCAAGAAAACGATCGGTATAGAGTACTGGCCAAGGTTGACCAAGGAGAAGGTAAAATTGCATTTCCTCAAGACGGATTTCGACCGATGGGTCGACGAGGACGACCAGGGGGATTTAGACGATGAGGAAAATGATACTTTCACAGAGCGTTTCCCGTTGGTGACTCCAAACAATGGAGCTTCATTGGATACGAGGAACTTGGCGGTATTGCAGGAGGAATTAGGGTCCAAGAGCCCGACAACAGCCATGGCTGAGTTTGAAGCTGCCACAGCGTCAGATCAGGAATCAAGCGACGATGAGTAGGCACCAAGAATAAGCTTCGATGTTGGATAAACATGGAACATAGCTCGAACCTCAGATTTCGAAATACCTAGGATGGAAATTGGGATATAATTCACAGGATGCTCTAATTAATACTTGTAGCCGTCGGTCTTCCGCTGGATTATGAAGCCCTAATTTTTTGTTATAGAGACAAGCTCCTGCCATTTAGGAGTTGTTACCAGAGTTTAAAGAAGAAGCGTGTTTATTGAATAAATTAGTTATACTATGGGTGGGTTAGGTTTTAGTTTAGGACTGAAAGCCTAAAAGATGAAGCAGATAGATCTAGATTCAGATAGTTCAAGGTTATGCACATAGCCGATTGGTAGCTATCCAACTCGCTGTTTATACCCTTCTAGTTCCCCACGATGGTGTTGATAATAACACTGCTATCCTGGGAGGACTGTGGTGGGGTGTACTCGTCGTCTGCGCCGCTTGTATAGAACCCCTCTTCCCCAATATTCCGATGAGTGCCCTTCTCCTCTCTGTTTGTAACTTGTGGCTCTTGTGTGGGAATAAACGCTTTGACACTTCCCGATCTCAAAATTCCATGGAATCGATTCTTTGTTTCGGGGGTTTGAGAGCCTCTTTGTCCTTGGGGCTTTGAGGGCCTGGACTGTAAAGGATGGAAGTTGCGTGGGTCAAATATTGCTTGGTGGGGAACTGGAATCGCACCGTAAGGAATTGGCACTCCCGGATCAATCCTCACCAAGATGTATCCTTCTGGGGGCGGAGGGATAAGGGAGAGTGTTCCGGGGCGTGTAGGGAGAGAAGGCAAGTCAGAAAACGGAGGTTTGACGGTTGACGGCTTTCCCGGTCTTGCTACCAAAAAAGGAGATGATTCCCCGTCTTCTTGCCGGTTCCATTTGGAACAAAAATCCCCCTCCGATGATTCTCTGTGGCACAAGTACCCAGTATCAACTCGGTTCATTGAGTGGACGCTGGCGACTCTTCTATCTGCAGGGTCGAACCGGGAGTGGTGTCCACTATATGTCCTTGCTTGTCAGTATGTACTCTTGCGGTGAAACTTGTGTATCGCATACTTGCGAGTGAAACGCCAAAAAAGCTGGTCGACGGGCATTTCGATGCCGTGCGGAGTTCGCAAAGCGAAGAGCTCCTCGAGGAGATAAACTACTTTGGAGTCCTTGGACGGCTTACTGTGTTTGGTGGGCAGTACGTTTAACGAGAACGAACCACAAAGCGGGCTTTCGGCAAGCATGGAGCTTACAGTATGTGTGTTTGAAGCGCACGAGAGCATTCTATAAAGTTGCTGTGTAAGTACAATCGAGATGAAATGGATTGCGTCTGAACACTTGAAAGAAAGAGGCAAATGATAAGGCTTACGCGATGCAAAAGCGTAGCCTCGCAAACATTTCAGGCCCCTTTGTTACTGAATAAATTTAAAGCCGCAGAGCTACACATTCACTTCCGATAGGTAATGCGATAATAAAGCTGTTTAACTGCATCTGTGTCCATTCCTCGTCACACGCATATGCATCGCAAAAAGTTAGGGCTTTGGAGTGCTTTCGGACAAACTAAGGAAGCCTCAGTTTTATGATGAATTTTCCGAGATTTCCCGCCTTAGTATGGATTTAGGGCTATGACCAGGGGCGAGTGATGGTCCGTATTAGAGTCAGATTTGCAACATGCCCAGTAAGACAGCCTAGCAAGGTATTGTGGCTTAGGTAAACCATATTATGCTTAGTCGATTCCGTCACATGCCTACACCCAGCGGCGCTGTCACCCTGTAAACCTATAATATCAATACCAAAGCTACAACGTACCTCTGGACAAAGACCCAGTCGGAATGGGGCCAATCCCCCTATAGTTTTTTTTTTTACTGGAACCACCGTCTCTCGGTGTTCGGGGAAACTCCTCCCCGAAAAATGCCCGTGGAAAAAACTGTCACGTGTGCGGAGTTCCCCAGAGTCCCCACACTCAAGTGGCATTTCTTGGCTCGCACGCTTTTATCCGGTGCAAAGACGCCTTTTCCGTGCGTTGTATAGTTGCGCACCCCCGCCGCTCACGACGCTCCCGGGGTTTTGCGACACTGTCAGCCCAGACGCACGATGGGCGAGGGATTCACCGGAAAAAAAGGCCATGCTGCCCTGAGTCCACCGCGACTTCCCAGAGTTATTTCGGAGCCAGTAGAAAGCTGGATAAATACTCTTAAGTGTACTGACTTCTTCATCCGGAGCTAAACCTTGTTTATTTATTTTTTTTTCTATTTCGTGTGCGGCACCTCTGCGACCCGTGTACCCTTCGCCGAAACTGGAACTCGCATTCATCCGCAGTTCGGAAATACTTCCTCCCACCCGCGCTTCCCCAGTTGTTTGTACGCTTGAAAAAGTTTCACTCCATTTCTTCATCAGTTGTTCCATCGTTAACCATCCATCGCTGACTTTAATCAATTACCGTTTGTATTTATTATCGCTTCACGGTTCATCTTCATCATTTGTCCGTGTTTACACCCCTTCCAGACTTGTCCATTGCAATTTGGTGGATTGAATCGGTTAACCATTGATCATACTCTCGTCGCTACAAATCGCCTACTCGAATTATCTGCTAGAACTTGTTCTCGTTTTTCTCGAATTGCCCACACATGTCCGAGACAGAAGCCAGGGTTTCGCCCCCAAATGCGCCGGCGGACAAGTTTGAAGACGAAGACAGTGGAACCGAGCTCGAGCCCCACCCGACAGATCCCAAGCTCCCACCGCGCAAGCGGTCCAAGGTATCGCGCGCATGTGACTCATGTCGTCGCAAGAAAATTCGCTGCGATGCGGAGTTCAGCCTGACCACCAACCAGCTCACCAAAACGTGTACGAGTTGCTCCAAGTCCGGCGAAAGCTGTACGTTTTGCCGCGTACCCTTGAAACGTGGCCCATCCAAAGGCTATATTCGCGACTTGGAAGAGAAGGCTGAGATGAACAAGCACCCGCGCGACCTCCAGAAACTTCTCCCGCACCATCCTCCGCTTAGCCAGGTTGCTATGGGCACCCAGCCACCAATTATCTTGCCGCCGATTAATTCGTTTGTGGGAAACTACCAGCAGGCAGCTCATGGAAACAACGCAAGTGACCATACAAACATGAACGAGTGTAATGCGAGCCACATCAGGTCAAGCTCGTTCAACGGTCAGAGACCCGGCTCGTTCAGCAATGCTCCGCCTTCGGCGTCGCATTCGGCATCGCATTCGGCATCGCATTCGTCTCAATCCTCTCCCCGCACCAGCGTCGCGGGAATCATGAGCAAAATGTTTAATCACGTCAAACCCGAAACGCCACGCCAAGCCGACACCGTCCCTGGCTTATTCTGGAAGGTTCCCTACGAAATGCCGCTCGACCGCCGCGGCTCAGTCGACTCCGTCTCCTCTGCGATAAGCGACCGCTTCAGTCCGCGTCTGGGCTTTGACTTGGTGTCCGACTCGGAAGACGACTACTCGCGCCGCCCGTACTCGCAGAGCGCGTCGCCGCGCAACTCGTTTTCGCAGCATCCGTCGCGTGGGCCATCCAGCCCCGCGCTCTCCGCAAACCTGTCGCTCGCGTCGGTGAGCGCGCGCATGCAGCACACGACCCTCGCGCCCGCGTTCACACACCCCGCAGCCCTCGCGCCCACACACCCTACCGACGCCAATCTCAACCTCTACTACTCCCGTTTCCACAAGAACTTCCCCATCTTGCCCCTCCAGAAACAAACCATCACTCACATTCTCTCCCAAATCGCCCCGTCGGACGACTCCCTTTACGTCTTGGACCTCTTCAACTCGGCCCTTGCTCTACTCCTTGACTACGAAAACCGCTCGGCGGACGACCTAAAGTTCCTCTTGTCCAAAATCTTCTCCCTCTACCCCCTTAAGGAGTCAACTTTCCATAACGAGCTCCTCGTGATTGTGTACCTCATGGCGTGTGTGTTGGTAAACTATGCGTTGGTGCTCAGCGGCGAGTTTCTCTCCATGGGCCTTAGCGTGGCCTTCAGCATCTTCCACGACTTCAAGATCTACAACAACTTCCGAAACCTCTCTGCTGAGTTGCTTGCAGAGCTGGCCAATCCTGACAGCTTCAAGACGATCACCGCCCGCTTGTACTTTAGCTTGATGGTGCTCGATACGACCTTTGCGCTCCAGCACGGCTTGCCAAACTCCGGTAGTCAGAGCAGCGCCGTGTTGGTGGGCTTTGAAAACGTCCACCATTTGATTCCGATTTATACTGATAGCATGGGCACGTTAAACAACTACAAGGTTGGGTTGGTGCTCGCGGACGTGGCCGCGCGACGCGCGTGCATGCGTGCGTTGCGTAACGGTACCCGTGTGGTGCCCGACGATGCGCTCGACTGGGGCCGCTACAACATCTCGCAAATCACCGGCGTTCCCGGTCTCTTTGTCAGTCTCATCCGCGAAAAATTCGAGCTCTACGACTTCCTAGTCGAGCTTGAGCCCCATTTGCGCAAGCCCGAGGATGACGATGAGGAGGAGTTCATCCAGGACTACCAGTTGAAGTTGTGCCGATTGTGCAAAAAGGTCGCCACTTCCATCGTGAACTTGCTCAACTTTGTGAGTTCCTTGCTTCAGGGGAGCCAGTTGGACTTGCTTGTGTCACCGTTCCTTCCTATGGTGTTTTCGCAGCCTGTACGCCTCATCTCCGTCATCAAGCTGGTCGTGGAGTCGTTGGCGTACAACGCCGATCTTGCGGGGCGGTTGGGAAAGATCCGGCACGACTTGATTGTGACGAACAACCTCTTGGGTATTCTTAAAATCCCCTTGAGTGCGAAGATTCTTCTGAAGAATAAGTTGAACGGGAACATCACGTCCGTGCCTGCGAGCGTCGCTGCGGGCAGCGCGTGCGCACTGATTGCGCAGTGGAAGCGCCGTGTCGCGGCGGAAATTCTTCCGCTTTTGGCCCAGGAGGATGCCAATGGCTGGTTGTGATAAGTTAATTTATGTGAGGGTGAGTTTCTCTTGAAATTGCCTGCGCTTTGACGTTAATACGCACGTTGGGTAGCCCTAGGTGTGCTTATGTAGTTGTCATGGGTAAGTTAGTCGACTTGGGCTCCAGGTATGTCGGTTTAGACTCCAAGCATGTCGGTTTAGGCTCCGGGTGTATCGACGAGAATAATTAAATCATAAACCTTTGGTTACTAGCAATAGATTCAACTTTCTGAATTGCTACCGGTTTTTGATCGCCGGGTGCGCCACTAAAGATATTCCGTGGCTGGAAACCCTTGCAAACTCAGGTTCGGCCATTCCTGGAAATTCTCGCCAACTGTTTCGGGTTTTCTCGCCTGAACCACATATACTAACATTAGAACCCTTACACCACGTCATATAAACATTAAATTTTGGCTTTAATATACACAAGTGCTCCGCTACTGAGGCTTAGCCTTTGGCCCCCAATTCTTGGTTGGGTTCTGTTGGAACCGCACGATCTTGACCTTTCGCAACTTCTCCACCCTCTTGCTGACCTCGTTGGGGGTCTCAAAGTCAACGATAAACGGTGTTTGCTCGGTTATCCCCAACCTCTCCTTTAGCTCCTTGGAAAAGCTTTGGGTCAAGTCCTGGTTCATAATCTTGTAGCCCGCCATCCCAGACGTGATGTTCTTGGAGCCGTTAGCGCTGGATTGCAATTTCGCCTTGGCGCTCTCATCGGCAATTTCCAACTTTTCGGCCAACTTTCTGTTGGTGTAGGTCACGAACTGCTTAAATACCTCCAAGACCACGCTCCACGGCGCGTTAGTCTTGATGGCACCGCTGGAGGCGTGGGTCAAAGAGACTTCAAAGCCCGAATTGCCCAACGCAGCCACCAAGGACTTCATCGGAATGGGCTGGGTCTTCAAGATGGAAGTCAACTTGGTGGGGTCGAAGTAGAACGGCGCGTCTGACAACTCCTGTCTGGCCAAGGTCAACATCCCGGTGATTCTGGCTCTGGTGCCGTAGGTCTCATCATCTAAGGTAGCATTGATGGCGAGGATTTTATCGATAAATGTATGGTTCTGCAACGGCCCGGCCCACATTGGGCCGCAGACGTGGTTCAGGAAGCCGCAGTTGTGGCAATGGGAGCTCACTGGCGGGCCAGCAGCCCAGCCAAATTTGTTAGCGGTGCCCTTCGCGTTGGTTTCACATTTCCCTAAGCGCTGGTTGGCGTTGGCACCACATCCGGAGCAGTGGTAGGTGATCATGGTGTTGGAAGCAAGCTCCTTAACCTTGATTGGCGACGTTCTGACACGGATGAACAACCGGACATAGAAATCAATGGATAAGCACAACACTGGTTCAATGGCTTTCTTGTATTTGGCCGCCGTGGTAGCAATCATGTGGAGTACCAAGCGCAAGGCTGCCTCGTGGGAGGCCCCCTTGGGCAACGTGGTCCCCCCGTACAAGGCGAAGCACTTTTCCGGGAACCCAGCACCAGCTAAAACTCCCAAATCGGTACAGGTGACGAGCATCAACCCATCGTTACTGATCGCGTTCAACGCCGAGTCGATAAACGGCGCAGCAGTGCCATACGGGTCCAAATCCACCACGTGGAAGGTCTTGTCGGAGGGAAGGTTCGACATGTACTTGATAGCGTCACCGTGATTGGCAACCACGTTGGAAGCGGCGTTGTATTCGATATTGCGATTGATGGCGTAAACCGCTTCATCAAGCATATCGTTGGCAACCACGTTTTTGACAAGGGGAATCTCCTTGCCGTAGCGGATGGCGCGGAGACCGGTGGCGGAGAGGGCTTCCAAAATGTTGATAAAAGGGGCTGGAGTCGAAGGTTCAGCCTTAACATTCATTTCTTTAATCTCTTCTGTTTCTTTTATCTTTTCCGTTTCTTCTGTCTTTTCCGCTTCTTCTGTCTTTTCCGTTTCCTCCATCTTTTCCATTTGCGCTGCCGTTCTCTTTTTCTTGTTCTCAAGGTAAACCGCCTTATTGTGCGCCTTTTCCTGCTTCTTAGCCTCTTGTTCAGCAACGTAAAGCTCGGACCACGCGCGGATCCCGGCAGTTGACAAGTCTCGGTTGAATTGCTGGACCGGGTTGTAGAACACCTTGTACTCCTTAGGAGTCAAGATATGCGCCTTCCCCTCAGTGATGACGGTGTAGTCATCGATATTGAGCGGGGTATTCGTGGACATTGTGCGTTTGGTGAGGAGTCTAAAGGGTAGTCTCGCTTGGAGCTTTCTGAACATGAAAGATCAAACGGAGTTATAGATAGCGGTGAGGTCAGCCAGAGAAATATTTTTCACTCCTGCATGAAGGCATGTCCTAGAGGCATATCTTGGATGCAGTACTTGGCCTACATGGTGCCACTAGAGGAGACTTACATTGCCGAATAATAGGTAATTTATCATCTTTGGGGTATAAATAGCTGCCCTAGGACAATTCTTTGATATTAATTATCTGTGGTTCAGTTTGGCCTATACATAAAGGTGTTATTACCGTTTGGTGGCTAAGCACAAAGCGCTTGCATATATGCGAGGCTTGCATATGGTCGGTTACGACTTGGTTGGTATCACTGCTGCTTAATGACACGTCCAGATCTGAGTCTGGTATATATCTTTAGTGATTTAATAGATGTTTGTCTGTACCAGTATTGTGGCTATTTGGTATGACAGCTGCTTATGGAGCACAGATAGTCCAACCTGAAGCTACCAGTATGGATACCGAGCGTTTATTGGGATATAACTATTTTTATATATTACTTTAGGCTTTCTCCACTAGATTTCTGTATAGCCCATTTATTGGGTTGGTAGATCGCCATCTCAGCCACCAGTAATGCTCGCCCTTTAGTGCCATCCGCGAGCCATGGCTAGTATCCCATATATCCTGCACTTACTGTAGATGGAGTCGAATTTTGTGGAACCTCAACAAAACGGCCTGAGCAATCCGATAACGGCATCACGGCCATCAATATTGCAATTTACAATGGACGGACCAGACTTTCAAAGCACGCTTATGACTGATGTGCTAGCCGCTGAGGCGTTTGCCAGCTACCCTGAGTCGTTGGTGGACTCAGACTATGATTACGATTCGGACTACTCGGACGACGATATTGTGGATGCCCAGAAGCTATGGGAGGACAATTTGAAGCAGTTGAACGAGGTTTGCTTCTTGATTCTCATTCCGGTGGTAGGGAAACTTCTCGGGCGCAGGTTTGCGTTGAACATCTGGCGAATTGTGGCAGACCACATTTGGAAATAAGTCTATTGACTGAGTGGTTAAGAATTGCAGATAAGCAATCGCACTGGACTTTGGTTGCAGGAATACTGAAGTCTGAACTCTTGTGAATACTAAAGTCTGAATTCTGGTGAATACTAAAGTCTGAACTCTGGTGAATACTAAAGTCTGAACTCTGGTTAAATACTGAGGCAAGTAAATAGCCCACTTCTCATGGCATTTTATTCGGGAATTGGGACTATCACATTGTATGTTTCTTGGTGCCTCAATGTAACATTGAAGGAGAAACTGGGGTGGATGGTTCAGGAAATCTGATCAATTACCTCACTACGGTTTTAATCTCTTGGTAGTTAGCAAGCTGATCTCAGTACTAAAAGAAAGCCGAAAGATCATAACCCCAGCCTCAGCGGATCTTATTGTAATCTAAAGTGTCATGGAAATGGGATTAAAATATTAGATCTTGGCCCTGGGGATTTGCAGAGCAGCACGAGTCAAGTATAGAGTAAGATATTCTACGTATAGCGTATATTAAACTGAGTCAGCTAGCACACCTTGTGGTACAGCTCTAGCTTTTACCTTCAACCTAGTGTCATACCTGGGTGGTCCGTAACAGGGTATACCCTATGCCATTGGTATTTATGCCAGATTACCGAATTTGTGGTAGACTCAACCAGGACGGTTTTGATGGCATTTGATAATGGATGACATTTGAAGGCGTTACTTCAGATATTCGTCTTTTTTCAGACGTACGTTCGCACTCACGTCACTTCTTAGTGAACATCGCATCGAGCATGGCCATTTCCCTGTACGCCACCTTCTCCACGGTGTGCTCCGTAAAATGAACAATGATCGGCAGAACAATCCCGTAGTTTATCCGGTTAAGTATCTCAATGATCAAAAACTCCTCCTCATCCTCCTGCACGGTCGACTGCAAGCTTGTCAACGTGTTCCAGTTCTTCTGCCCAAGACCTGCGCGCGGCCCGCCGAGCGCAAGCTTCGCCTGTCGCTTGAGCTCCAAGTTGCGCAAAAAGTCAAGCATGGTTTCCAAAAACACGTGCATCACCATGCGTGTGTCGAGGTTGCTGATCGTCGCCGCATTATTACCCGAGTCGAGCTTCTTAATCGCATACTTATCCGTCAATATCTGCCCGCTTCCGATTTTGGTCAGCGACCCGGACCCCGCCGTGGCGCGGCTGAACATTGATTGGATATCCTCGTCGCCCTTAGGTTTATCGCCCAAATACCCAATTTCGTACTCCTCAAATAACTTGTTGATGTTGTCGAGGTATGCCAGGGTGATTTTCGGAAACTTCTTGTGGGTCGCGAGGTAGAAGTCGATCTTGTCCTCACGGTCGTAGTTTGCATTCGTCTGCGCAAAGTTCGGCGACGTTTTGATCACAGCTCCGAGCGAGATCCCAAGCTGGAAGAGCCGCGCGACGAACAGACGGTCCATGCTCTCGAATACTTGCTCGGGGTCCGCGAGTCGCACCACATTCATGAAGAAGCAGTTGGAGCCGTCCTCGCCCGTGTGGACCGGATTCGTGAGCGTCTGGATATAGGTGAGCTTGTTGATGATGGTTGCCACTTGGAACTCTTTGAGTAGTGTTGAGGACATGGATTGGATGAGTGTGAATGAAGTGGGCTGTTCGAACTGGTGTGTACGAATTTTTTAGGTGCGCCAGCCGCTGCGTTGAGGCTGCAGGTCAGGCGGGTGACGTGTGCGCAGATAAGCTACAGCGAAAGCAACGGGGCCATCACGTTATTGGCATATCCGTTTAAAGAATTATATCTATGGTCTTGGCATAGTCCTTGTCTAGGCCCCAATTTTCGCTGAACTTTTGTCAGGGTATATCCGAATATCAAATCTAGAACCGTTAATGAGCATAAACGTGCACTGGCTTGTGCACTGGTTTGCGCTCTGGATTTTCCCACGTGCAATTTCCGTCTGATCGCACACGCAGCCCTGCCGACGTCGTTCAGGGTCTGGATAAATCGTTTATCCAATTATGCCAGTGCGTATTTATATTAGTATTACCATCTATTCTAATTATTTTCTAATTATTTTCAATTCTTTTCTCTGCGTAATCGCGACACGCCATTAACTGTTATGTACATGTGCAGCTCCTAGGAGTGGTTCTTCCAATCCATCCGACGCTTGTAGGTGCTCTCAGGCTTGACAGACATATTCACGGTCTTGGTGAACTCTTCAAAGTAATCGGAGATCAAATCTGCTGTCCAAGATTCGTTCCCTGGCTTCATGTACCCTAAATGGCCACCCAAGTCGGTCTCAACCATGCACAACCACGGGTTGGATCTGACCTCGTCGTACGGCAAGCGAACACTAACCACTGGGTCGTCGGTAGAGTTCAAAATCAAGGTCGGGGTGTGGATATCGAAGATTCTGTTCACTGGCGAGCCCTCGCGGTAGTAATCATTCGCGCAGTGGAAGCCAACGAGCGGGGCAGTGATCAAGTTGTCAAACTCAATCGTGGACTGGAACTTGCGGTTGAGAAGCTCAGGGGTGAAAAAATCCGGCCAATTCTCGCTCAACTCCTGCTTGTTGTTTTTGATCAACCGGTGCAAGAATGACGCCACCGCCGGCCCAAACATGTGTTTGCCGGAGTAAGAGTTTCCGATATGGTAGGCGGAGTCTACCAAGTCCCACGGAGCAGAAATCACACAGGCAGCGTCCACCAAACACTTATCGCTGTCTTCGCCCAAAAAGTTGCCCAAAATGGTGCCCCCGAAGGAAAGGCCCACTGCGTAGACCGGTTTGTTGGGATATGCCTCCTTCAAGTTCGCTACAAACTCTCTGATGTCGCCAGTAGACAAGGCGTTGAACAACTCTGGGGTCGAGATCTTGGTTCTACTGCACCCTCTGGAGTTCAACACCACCACGTCGTACTTGTTACCGCTGTAGAGTCGGTCGGCAATGGCTCTGACCAATGGTTCGTGGCTCCCACCTCCGAGGCCATGCAAAATCACCACAATCGGCTTCTCTGGCGCCATGTCACTATAGAGCTTGCCCACCTCTTCCGTAGAGAGGAAGCGCGTGTTTCGATTCATTCTCGGCCAGCCCTCGGGAATGGTTTCCGCACTCTTTTTGGAAAAGTCCGCCTTGCTCTCCGGCAGAATCACAAAGTCCGCGGAGGCTGTCCCTTTGTCCTGGAACTTCACGAGCTGGCGCCCGTAGAAAATCTGGTGTTTATTAAACTCCTTGGAGTAGTACATGGTTTGTAACGTCCCGTTGAACAAGTACGGGTTCAATTTCACGTAACCCGGCTTGACACTCAGGAGGTTCTGCACCAACTTTCTGAGTGGAATCATCGCCGTCGCGTCCCCAGCCTTCATCGGCAACTTTACGCTGTCCTCATGCGTGTGGAGGGTGAGATTGGCGTTGTAGCCCCAGGGAATTGATTGTATCATTATTGGCTATTTGAACTTGATTTGGAGAGATATCTGAGTAGAATACAATAGCGATATATACGTCAACAATCTGCGAAACCGTTAAAACTGCTAACAGGATGTTTTCAGGCAGCCTAGCGCATAGCCAAAGGAAAAAGAAACGCATGCAGCATGCAGATCTCCAATCAGCTTGATTGGTAATGCATCGGAAATAGCGAGGATTAAAACTGTTGAGCTTATTTTTCGGAATAAAGGTAAACCTTTTAGTGGCATGTCATACCTCTGACACTAATGACATCGCTAATTGTGGTCTCCGTCCCGCTGTACACTCTGTCGGAAAATGTGGCGGGTGGAGGTCGTGCACGCACTAACATCTACAACGTTTCTTTAGTTTAGCATACGGATTTCGGCTCGGAAGCTCGGGAAGTAGCGTATCCCGCGCGGACCGTTGGGAGAAGGTGTGGAAACTACTAACGAGATTAAGAATAGCTTTAAAGCACAGTGAATTTCAGACCCTCATTGTGTGTTTTAGAGATTCTATATGCGACTTTTCTAGGGTTTGGGCAACTTGTTAAGGGTTATGTTTGAGGAAACTTCCACCGGAGAATGCTACACGTTAATCTGTATTCACATTTGTCTAACTTTCTAGTTAACTCTAGAGTAGATATACCATATTTAGTGCAGACCACATAGCCTTGTCGACCTGAATTACTAAAGGGGGGCACTAGCTGGAACTACATGCAACGCACAAGCTAACCTTTATTTTTGTTGAACTCCGAAGGTCTGCATATGCATCTGCAAGGGCTCTTGCGCGAAACTGGCACACAAGGAAAGATCATGCGCCCAGATTCAAAAGAAGCAGCTCTAATAAGTGGTTTACCCGTGTGACACCAGTAATTAGATGCCGCCATATCTGACAGACACTGCATATACACCTGCAAGCGTACTTATCTACCTGTCCTGAATGTTGCCCGATTGACACTTAGCCTTAATTCTATTGGTACAAATGAAGTCAATACTTTATAATCCTACAACCTGCCTTCCCTTTCCGACGGCTTGTCTTACACACCTATATCTCTGAATGATTGTCTTGCACTTATATATACAGCTAAACAGACCTATGCATGAGCGGTCATGTGTACCTCGCTAAACAAACTTATGGATCACCGTCTTGATATACTCAATGCACTCGTCCTTGCCTTCGCCCGGATGGTCCAACTGCCACTTCATAATCTCATCGTTTACCGCTTTCATCCACGGACCTGGCTTCAACTCCAACGTCTTGGACAATACCTTGCCGTCCACCACGTGCTTCCAGTTGTAGGCGTCGCCTAACTGTTGCTCCTGGATGTACTGGTACAAGGCATTGTACTTGGTCAAGGCTTCCTGGGCCAACGCGCCGAGAGCCTGTGTATTGCTGTCAGTCACGACAGACGTGTCCAACGGATCCCTTGGGCATGCGCCGTTAAACGGAGTCAACTGAACTATCGTTGAGGCGTGAATAAGGAATTCAAAGAAGGCATTGAAGGTCAACGCGAGCGGCCACCATTCACCGTATGATCTAATCATCAACCCTACGTCAGAGCGGGTCACCGTCTCATGGCTCTTGGTGAAGGTTTCGATAAATTTATTCAACGTGGGCTGCAAGGTGATGATCTTTGCAACTGGCTCCGCATCCTTGTTGCCGAGCTTGACCCCCTCTTTGATTAAAAGCTCAACCGCCAAGGTTCCGCGCTTCTTGGGATTGGTCACCAACACAAGCGACTGCAATGGCTGCGCCACCGTCAACAACCAGAAGAGCTTCTGCATCTTACGCTCCTGTGATAAGCTGGTAAAAACCTTCCCCACAGGCGAGTTTTGCTGGTTCTGGCTGTGGATGTACTGCGCAAACACGGGTAAGAGCTCGACGGTATAGGACGTCTGTTCGGACGAGCTGATGGTGCTTTCGCGGAGAAGCTCGGTCAAATCTGGGTTGTACGCGCGCACGGCCTCCTCAAAGGGTCCCATGCTGAAAATAAGCTCAAAGAGCCCGGTGTAGGTTATGAGTTTCAACCCGTAGCCGGCGTTTTGGCTCTGCAAGATTTTTTCCACCTCTACGCCGATGCGCTCGCGGCTGATCTTCTGGCTGAGGGCAACCTTAATCTCTGGACTGGTCATTGCGTGCAATGTTTCTGACTCGATGACAAAGTTGAAGCGGGAGGCAAATCGGATGAGGCGCAACACGCGCAATGGGTCATCTAAAAACGTCTGGAACGGCTGTAGTGGCGTGCGCAACACGCCCTGGTACAAATCGGTCAAGCCTTTCCCGGTGTAGTCCTCCACTTGCCGTGTCTGTAAGTTGTAGAAGAGTGCGTTCAATGTAGCATCACGTCTCAAGGCGTCTTCCTCGGGGGTGCCGAACTTGATCACCGGGATGCGCGACTGGTCGGTGTACTCCTCGCTGCGCAAGTTGACAAAGTCAATGTCTAGGTCGTATAACTTGGTGGTGCACGTTTCCAAGTGCTTTGACTTTTCTGGGTTGGACGCGATCGTGTGGATGGAGGTAACCTTTTTGACCACCCCCGCGTACTTGTCCATGTTACCGCCAATGTAGGCCATCAACCCGCGCGCGAACTCTTCGCCCGACAAGTTGCTGATGGCAATATCCAAGTCGTTGCTTTCGTTTCCGAGCACCTTGTCGCGCACCCAACCGCCGCTGACGCGCAATACCGTTGGAACAGAGCCCGTCTGGGCGTCTTTTGCGGCGGCGTAGTCCACAAGCAAGTCACGGATCTTCTGTTCGGTTGCAGAGAGCGAAATCTGCGGTAACAGGGTTTGGGACGCCATTCTGAGTTGGGGTCGTAAGGATGTAGCTGTGCGGAGAATGAAAACGGGGCTAAAAAGCATTCTGGAGCGTTCTGGAGAGAAGCAAGCCGTGTTGATCAGAAGGAATATTAGTCCTGCACATGGGTGAAAAATATATGTATATGACACGTGATGAGAGGCTGAGAAGAATTAAAGAATATTAGAATGGGTATTTATTGGTAATATTAGAATCAAGGGGGAAATGAAGGGGGAAATGAAAGGAAAAAAGAGAAAGGAGAAAGGGAAGTGGAAAGGGAAAGGGAAAGAGAAAGAGAGAGAAAGGGAAAGAGAGAGAGAAAGGGAAAGGGAAAGAGAAAGAGAGAAAGAGAAACATGTATTGGAAAGAAAGTTGTTATTCCCATATAGGCTCTTATAAAAAGGCGATAAATCCCCCTTTTTATCATATACCCAAAGCAATAAGGTATAATATATCAGCGCGAATGCCTATCAGATGTGTTTTAATAACTTAGCCTAGAGCGCTATTTATCCTATATATCTATAACTAAGGATTCATTGAAACGTTTAATACGCGATGGCAGATATGTCACCTGAGAATGCTTCAAAATATTTGAACCAAGATCTGGTGAGGACTTAAGTTTAATTGTGCCTCTTAAAATAAGATAGAAGGGATAACCAACTTAATTACAAGTCTAAATACCTTATTAGGTATCACCGGCGTATGACCAGACTCAATCTCCTGACGAGCCTACGTAGAAAAAGTCTTATATTTCAGTTTTCCACTAGATCCTATACTGGCAACTTCTGTATTATCAACCATAGGAGTATTTCTTGGTTATCTCCGTCGACTTGTTAGAGACTTCCTAGATTTTAGACGACTCCTGCATGTGACGGAGTTACCCAGACATAATTAACTCCCATTACTAAGCCATGCATATTTCCTACAGTTCCTTTATCTCAATCCCGTAACTGAATATGACTTTAGCCTATGAGGAATCCTCTTATCTGTTAATTACTAAGCATCGTTGCTACAATCTCATTTGGAGGTATCTAATTGGAAGCCCTACGCCTCGATTACCTTGAGGTAGGCTAGATGCAACATGTCAGAGGCCAAAGCCCCAACTATAAAAGGCTTGCCATCTACTTAAAATAAAGGCTTCTTGATTTATTCATCAGCAAAGTTAAACCTTTTAACCATGTCTACCTATCCCGAAACCTTCCAAGGCTATGCCGTTGGCAGCAGTGTCAACTGGAACAAAGCCAAGCTCACCTCCTTCCCTCCGAAAGCCTTCGAGGCCAACGATATCGACATTGAAATTGAATGCTGTGGTGTTTGTGGCTCTGATGTCCACACCGTCAGGGGTAACTGGAGCGAATTAAAGAGCCTGGTTGTGGTGGGCCACGAGATTGTGGGTAAGGTGGTCAGAGTTGGACCTAATGTCACTCACTACAAGCTTGGTGACCGTGTCGGTGTGGGTGCCCAAGCCAAATCATGCTTAGAATGTTCTCGTTGCAAGCGCGATAATGAGCCATACTGTAAAACCGCCGTTTTCACATATAACTCGGCCTACCCTGACGGATACATCTCCAAGGGTGGTTACGCCTCGCACGTCAGAATTCATGAGCACTTTGCGTTCCCAATCCCGGAGGGTATCAAGTCTGAACATGCTGCTCCATTGATGTGTGGTGGTTTGACCGTCTACTCTCCGTTGAAAAGGTTCTTGGACCAAGCCCGTGAGGCCAATAAGAAGTACGGTGACACCGAGGTTACCGTTGGTATCATTGGGATTGGTGGGTTAGGCTCTATGGCTGTGCAGCTCGCCAAGGCTATGGGTTACACCAAAGTTTACGCCATCTCCCGTGGTACCTCCAAGAAGGAGGACGCTTTGAAGTTGGGTGCTGATGGTTTCGTCGCCACCGCTGAAAAGGACTGGGCCAAATCCCACCAAGACACTTTTGATTTCATTTTGAACTGTGCTTCTTCAATCTCCAACTTGGACTTGAACTCTTTCCTCTCCGCTATGAAGTTTGGGGGTACCTTCACGTCTGTCGGGTTGGGTCCTTCTGATGAATCCTTCAGTGTCTCTCCAGGCTCTTTCATCAGAAATCGCTCCAGTATGGGCTCCTCTGCCTTGGGCTCCCGAGCTGAGTGCATCGAGATGTTGGAGTTGGCAGCGGCCAAGGGGGTTACTCCTTGGATCGAGGAGGTTCCTATCTCCGAAGCTGGTGTCAACGAGGTTTTGACTAAGTGTGAGAACGGTGATGCGAGATACAGATACTGTTTGACCAACTTCCATGAAGCGTTTAAGACAGGAGAGCACAAGTTGTAACCGGTGGTTGAGGCATATTTCATGGATATTAGTAATTAATAACTATGATAATCAGTTTTGTGTAGATATGGATATCGTTTGGGGAGGCAAAACTTTTATACGGTGAGGAAAAGCCGGGACATACGTGATATATAATGTAGTAAACACGGCCTTTATCACAGGGTTTCTTATGTCGGGCTTCTGTCTAGTTCAGGCTGGCTTTCCAGCAGTGTTTCGTTATGGGTCGTATTATCTAAGAAAACATTGCTTAAACGTTTGAATACAGCTTTGCCTCCAAAAATAATCTCGGTTAATTGTGTTTCCAAGGGGAAAAAATGCGCCAGCCCGGAATCGAACCGGGGGCCCAACGATGGCAACGTTGGATTTTACCACTAAACCACTGGCGCTGGCTTCTTAACAGCGCCAACTATGGCAATTACTGACCCTGCTTTTATAGATGACTAGACCGTCTGGCTAGTGTTTCTCTGTACTTTGCTATTCAAACTATTACTTGCATCTCAGAATACTTCAGCTTGTACGACTCAGAGTAGTTCTTTCAGTGAGATAAGCAATACGTCATCTTATAAAATCTGTCTTTTAAGTCATGACTTTGACCATATGGCTCATTCTCCAAAAAAAATATCGACAACGGCAGGACTCGAACCTGCGCGGGCAGAGCCCAAAAGATTTCTAATCTTTCGCCTTAACCGCTCGGCCACGTTGCCTCGATACAAAAATATGTATCATCGGTATATAGTATGTAAACATTATCTTGGATCAGCTTCCATACTTAGCAAGACCTTTAATACCACCTGTACCTAATAATCCTATCGACTTGCACCACTCATCATATTCTGTATCTCTACTTTAGCCAAAAATACAATCCTCAATACCAATGGTTCTCGATAACGTTTCCCCCAAGAATGTTAAAATATGTCAAGTTTCTTGGTAGCCTCTCATCATTCACGCGACTGATCTTGTTATTTCCAAGACTCAACCGCTCCAACCGGGCCGGAAATTGCACACGGTCGATACTTGTAAGAAGGTTATCGTCGAGGGAGAGCGACCGCAACAGCTCGGGGAGCTGGAAGTTATCAATGCTTCTGATCTCATTACGCAGGAACGAAACCCGGAGGATGTTTTCAGGTAAAACCACTCCCTCTAAGCTCTTCATGCTGTTGTCATCGCAAAGCAAGACCTCCAAGGTAGCAGGAAAGGAAATGGAAGATAAGGACGTGATGGAGTTGCGCTCGAGATTGAGAAAAGTTAGATTTGGGGGAAACTCAAAACTAGGGGGGAACGTTTCAATGATGTTGGAAGAAAGCGTAAGTCTTTGCAAATGCGGGTGTCTGGCAAAGTTGTGGAAGCGTAGAAGGGTCTCCTCTTTCAAACCCGTTCGCATCAAGTTTAGGCTGCGCAACTGCTGCGGGAGGGCAAACCCGGTCCAGTTGTGGATAAGATTCTTCAGCATAACCAAAGTGGTAAGAGAGTCGGGAAGCCGCATGTGTTCGACGGTGGTGATACTGGCGTTTTCGAGGTTGAGGGTTGTGAGACCACCGAGGTGGGAAAGATCCACGTGCGACAAGTCTTGCAAGTAGCTTCCCGAGAGATCGAGAACCTCCAACTCGCTCGGAAAGACGGTCAGACGAATATTTTTAATCCCAGTATAGGACAACTGAAGGGATCTGACCCCGTCTGGGAGACGGAGCTTGTGGAATGAATCGCCAAACGCAAGACACATCCGTAAAGACAAGATCCTGAGGCTTTTTGGTGCCTTGAACTCGCTACTCAACACAATCTGGTTCCGCTCCATTCTGAGCTCCTCCACCGAGTCAGGGAACACACAGGCGATGTCGCCCAAGGAATTGCTGTTGAGGTTGATCTTTTTCAACCGGTCGTTGAAAATAATCCCGGATAGGTCGCTGATTCCGTTTTCCGCTAGCGAAAGCTCTTCTAGAGCCGCGGGTACCTGGAAACTGTGGATGCGCTCAATCCACGCGCTCTGGAGGCGAAGCGATATCAAAGTCTCGGGAAAGTGCACAGATGCGCCGGCGATGTCGCCGAGGGGGTTGTTCGATAAATCCAAGCGTTCCAAATGGGGTGGAAACTGCCACAAGCTGCTCCGCACTACGTGGTCACGGTACACCCCCGCGGTAAGATTGTTGTTCTTGAGGTTGAGGTCGATGAGGGTTGGAGGAAACGTCACGTTGAGATCCGTGAGCTTGTTCTGGGCCAAGTTTAGAGAGCGTAGAGAGGAAGGAAACCTGACCCCCTCTAAGGAGTCAATGCCGTTGTTTTGTAGATTTAAAAGCTGCAATCCCGAGGGAAACACCGCGTCTTTGAGAGAAAAGTTGTAGCCTTCGATAGATACGGTGGTGAGCCGCTCCGGAAACCGCCACTTGAAAACAGACCGCGGTGTCTGTCTGGATCGTTCTGCTGTCAGAGAGAATGTTGTCAAATTGTGGAAGTTGATGAGGGCAGCAATATGGGGGACATCGGGGAAGTGGGAGAGTGTGAGCCGGAGGTTTTTGATTCGTGTTTCGAGGAGATGTTTTGAAATAGATCTATTTTGGCTGATACCTCCATCGTTTTGAAGACCTTGGGAGTTGTTTTGAGTCGTTCCACCATTCAGGAGATCATGTCTGAGCCGATCAGGGTTTTCCCCCCGTCTGCTGTCGTTTATCTGAATCTCACCCCTCCCTTTCGGTTTGGCCCCACAATTAAGCTGGTCCAAAAGATGTAGCGAGGTGGCACGGAACGTGAGCGATAAACTACCGACTTTGTACGCAACCGGAAGGGGTTCCAACGTATTGAGTAGCTCTCGGAACGCATCGTACCCGAGTCTCAAGCATTCCGGCGTCGTAACCTCGCCCCTCTCATCCCCAGTCATCACCACCACATCTTTATAGATTCGGTTGAAACACAAAAGCTGTACTAGCTCGTCGTCAAATTCACCTCTGATCGCCTGAGCGTGTTCAATCGGAATGTCATCCAAGATCTGCTCGAGAGCGTGGTACGGCAACGTCCGGAAGACCCTCCGCAAATCAATGTCTTTCATAACAAAAACTGGATGTGGTTTCGTGTGAATAAGAAAGTTCGGGGGCTGAATGAATTTCCTGGCTTGTTATTTCAGTTTAGATCAACCTGATTCCCCGGCCCTGCCGTCTGACACAAACTTAACGGGACTTCCGGTATATAACGCTCTTCGCATGTACAGTTAAAACAATAGCTAGAGAATGGAATGATTTTCCGGAGAATAAAGAGAATTCCTAAATTTCCCTTTATCAATAAGGCTTTAGCATGGTGCTACGGTTTTTGTGAGCCAAAGGCGGGATAGCGAAGGGTTTCTTATGCAAGCTTTGCTCGTAACGATTCCTATAGCAGTATTTTATACAAGTGATAATATAACTTGACTAAGAGTTAAAATCAACACCTAGCGAAATCTCATTCAGGAAACCAAGCTAGAGGTAACATATTTTTAATCTCATTTTTAGATATTTATACGGTCGAAACTCGCAAGGGATGAGCTGAAATGGCAACCTCATTCGACGTTTTCAATTAGCCATCCATAATAAGTTGCAGCGCTGATAGTACCAAAACGATTTTGTAGCAAATCTAGAAGTATCAGAATATATAAGATGGTCAAAAATCTATGGTTAAACTTAATACTAATGTACTCGAAGTTCCCTCCCTACACCTATGTGTTCACAGTCGTCTAAAGAGTATATCATTAGACTATTTGGCAAAGGAGTCACCATCAAGCTCAGAAGCGCAAGCTCAGAGGCACAAGCTCAACTCCCGCACTGCTTGACACATGGCCATTCAAAACAATGTGAATGCCATACAAAACGACAGGAACTCTACATTTATCATATAAATGTTCTATAAAAACCTTCCGTAAAACTTGATAAAGAAAAGGAAAAAGAGACGGATAGGAATAGAAAAAAGAAAATAAATCAAAAATCCCGTTTACACTTCAGAAGCAACATAGATAACCTTGGTGTCGGAGGCAAAGCCGTTGAATTGGGTGGTGGCAGCAGAGGTGTAGGCCCCCAACTGTGGAAAGTACAACCAATCACCAACCTCAACCAATTGGGACAAGGACGCCTCGCTGGCCACGCAGTCCAAGCCGTCACAGGTAGGACCCCAGATGGACACAACATGCTCGGCATTTCCAGAGAGTAAATGCTCGCCGTAACGGTACTTCGAGCCGCCCTCGTGGGTCAACACATATGCCTGAGGATGCTGGTGGTCGTACAAGATACAGTTCAAGTTACCGTACACTCCATCGTTGATGTAAAGCATGTCTGGAGTATCAGCAGTGGATCTCTTGGCAATAACGTTGGCAGCCAAGGTGAAGGCATTTGCCACAAAGAATCTGCCAGGCTCGGAGATTACGCGGACATTTCTGACACACGCATCGGCTGGCCCCAACAGCTGCGCTGGGAAGTAGACCTCCAACGCGTTGTTCAAGACCTTGGCCGCCTCGTCGATCTGGGAATCCTCAGGGGTAAAGCCCCCGCCAACATCCAAAACGTCCAAGCTGCGGAACCCGTACGCGTACGCCATGGCAAAAACACGTTTGGCATCAGCTACAGCCTTACCCAACGACGAATAGTCGCTGGCGCCGGAGCCGACGTGGAACGAGACCCCGCGAACGCAAATGTTCAAATCCCGGGCAGCGTGCAAAATCTCAGGCACGTTTTCCATGCGGGCACCAAACTTGGTGGACAAGCGACACTGCGCGTTCTCGTCGTCTGTGGCAATACGAATCAAAACTCCCATGGATGGGTCGAAGCGCGCAATCTTGCGCAACTCATCGACATTGTCAGCCGTAGTCAAGGAAACATCCACCAGCCGTGCGTATCTCACGAACGACGGCTGCTTGCACGGATTCGCGTAGATAATGTCGGTGGAAGGGACTCCGAGAGCCAAAACCGTGGCGATCTCGCCCTTGGAGGCGCAATCGAAACCACAGCCCAACTCGTGCAATACCTGGATGATCTTCACGTCCGGGTTGCACTTAACGGCGTAGAACGGCCTAATCCGCGGAAACTTTGCGCGCCACTTGCGGTACATGCGCACAACTTCGCCCAAGTCACAAACAAATACCGAAGATTCGGCGTCGGCCTCACAGGTCGCAGCGTCGATGTTCTTGGTGTGGTTCCACAAGGCCTGGGAAACCATCTTTGCGGACTTGAGCTGTGCAGTGGTCAAGTGGCTGAGCTCATCGACAATGGCTGCGTCCGGACGCGTGAGCATCTTCTCGCGGAGAAGTGCCTCGTGCACGGCAGAGGAGTCGAAGGCTTGGTGAGAAAGCATCGGCTGAAAGGTGTCGATGGAGGTGGATCCGAGGGTGGTGGTAGCAGCAGTGCTTTGCGATATCAATCTCTTGAGCGAAGTCGCAGTAGAGATGGCAATGGACTGGTTAGCACGTAACCGGCAGAGCAAGGCGAAGGAAATCAGCGTGACTTCTAAAGGGTAAACGGAGAGCGACAAAAAAACTAAAACACGGTGAGTTTTTCTGAAGCAAAGTTAGTCGGTAAAACTAACTAGTGGATTGATGAAGGAAGGTTCTAATGTTCTGTTTCCAGATCGGTGCTCTAGTCTTCTGAAGAAGTGAAAATTAGAGATTAGGTGGGGCGTCGAGAAATGGAACGCTGGTGGCAGTTCCTAAGAGAGATGGTGGATAGCCTCTGATGTAAGGATACACTTTTTTGGTTTTTGGGATGTCTCGTTTAGCGTACTCTAAAAAGCCCCTTGTTCAATGATTGATCAAACGCGGAAATCAAAAAAGTGTAGTAAAAAGAAACTATGGGAGGGTAGTTGATGCGATTGGGGGGTAACGAGGGGGAAGCTTTTTGAGTACTCTTGTTAATTGACCTCTATGCGGCAGCTCTCGTTTTTTACTCTGTGGAAAAAAACGGCAAAAAAGGGATTCTTTACTATATTTCAAGCGACCAAGAATTACACTGGGTTTATTTAGAGGATAATCTGAGAAAGGGGGTTGGAGCGGAAAGGGTTGATTTGTATAGATGGGACTCTATGTGGTTTGATTGTTAGGCGGAACTAGGGAAGAACTGGGCAAGAAATTTTGGACGATTTGTGGATGCGGGTGGGCTTTTATAGATCCGAAGGTGGGGAATGAAAGGAAACATTTTTTTCACAAGCTTGTGTCAATGCGAGGCGCACGTTGACTCACATGCAGTCTAGCAACTAAAAAAAGGCGTTATATGCACGATTTTTCAAATTTTTCACTCGGAGCAACTTTCTGGGTAAAACTTTTGAAAAAGATCTAGATGCATTAATCCCAGGCCGAGTCAAAAGCTGCCCCGGGTTTAGAAGTAAAACTGCGTCATACGTTTCTTGATATAGACAAAGTTTGGGACGCGTGGATTGTAAAATACGAGAGAGCACCTCCAAGCTACACGATAGGCTAATCAGCACTACGCCCACTTGCTAGCTTCTCCCCACCAGGAAAGTCCATGGTGTGTGCCGGAAGGTTCCAGCATGAGCCAATCTTACGTGGCTCTCAAAGGGGGTTACAAAGTTTTTGCTTCAAGTTCTAGCGAAGTGTAGTTGTATTGGCATTAACTTGTGAATGATTTTACCTGGTCGGACCCTGTCAATACTGCTTAGTCTCTATGGGGCTGGGTACTGGATAATGCAGGCTGCTACACCGATTTGTGTGGTAATCGGAAGAGAAAACGTACGCGAATCAATGCTAAGCTCTAATACATGGTTAATTACCAATAATTAAACAAGGCTAAGTCTGCGAAGGCTAATCTTTTGTTTGAGATCGGCACAAATTAGCCAATGAATCAAAAAATATCTCGGAAGGGTGATTCGAACACCCGATCTCAGGATTTCAATTTAACATTACAGTCCCGCGCCTTAGCCAACTTGGCCACCCCGAGTTTTACGCAAGTAAGGATTTTGGGCTTTGTTATGATTAACAAAGAATTGAAAAGTTTAAAGGTTGGAATTAAAAAGTTTGGATGTCAGAATTGAAATGTTTGAATGTTTGAATTGAAAAGTTTAAAGGTTACCGGATTTTTGTTTTTTTACATTTAAATAAAAATCATTTAATAAAATAGCGTGATATGATATTTAATTTTAGTGTTACAATTAATCGTATATATGTAAAATACAACTTGAATATGTATAATTGACTGTTTAATCAATGCACAATTTATAAATATCCAGAATTACTCAATTGTTGTAATAACATAAATAAGGATAGTCACAGTTCATTCCTAGATCGTAAATATATACATATGATGCATATACGTAGAGCACATACATCATCACCTCACCAACTGGGAGAAACAGTACGACTAGTGTAAATATTCGGGGTGCAGGATGAAAAATTAAATAGGCCCATGATGTGATAATGATTCAGACACTTCGTCCAACGCCATGGATACGCTATTTTACCGACTTAACCAAAGAGTTCCCATTGTACAGCTCCACTATGATCCAGCCACGATAAACCAGAAGCTACTCCTCGCACACGTCCAGCCGATTGTGCAGCGCAACCCCTACTATATCAAGCTCTTCTTGAAGAGGTTTATGGATGTGTGCGAGAAGCAGGACATTGAGTTGCTAGATGCATTTTATGAACTCTACTGCGATTTGCTTCCGTCCCAGGAAATGAAGCCCACCGACGTGGACGTGGTGTCGTACTGCGTTGGAGGAAACGTCGGGGACAACGAGTTACGGGACAGGGTGATCTACATGCGGGAAAGCCCCAAGCTCATTAGCGGTAACGGGACCACAGGCTTACGGACCTGGGAAGCCGCCTTGTACCTTTCTCGGTACTTGCTCTCGCATCCATCATTGGCCAACGCCAAAACCATCTTGGAGCTAGGCACGGGAACCGGGGTCGTAGGCCTTGCGCTCAGCAAGTTTACCCATGCTGAAAAAGTGATTCTCACTGACGGGGACTCCAATCTTCTCGATAACCTAAGCTTCAATTTAAGCCTAAACAAGCTAGCCTTAGGACCAGATCTCTCCACCCAGCGCTTGTGGTGGGGTTCCGAAGCAGGCGACAAAGTTCCAGCCAATGACTTGATTGTCGCTGCTGACGTCACGTACGACTCCTCGATCTTAGAATCACTCCTCTACACCATCAGAGACTCTTTCTCCAAGCACGCCCGGAGTAGGGAAGCATTGATTGCCGCCACAATCCGAAATACCCACACTATGCAGTGCTGGGATGACCTTTTGGCCAAGTATCAAGAAAGCGGGGAAATAGTGTGGACGGTGTTGGACCTGTGCGGCGAGCCTTCGCTGCTTTCCCTGATATCAAAATGTTGGTTCAGCCCGGGAACACCGGAAATTAGAATCTACCAGATCAAGAAGCCTTAATTCCGGTCCTTATGTAACATATGAATAAGCCCCTATTTCCAGTAAGGGCAACGGGTATAACGTTGGCATCTATTGTGGTAAATTACTTGCCCTTAGATAAGGTGACAGTCTACTATGTATATTCGTTGATTATAATACTAAGGACAATTAAAAGCGAGGGCTCCATATGTCCTTTTATAGACAATTGGTTCTTCCGGTAAAGAAACTTTTGATTATACTAAAATCACTTTTGAGACGTTATTTGATGTTCTTTTGAGGTACTTTTATGGAGTATTTTGGACACCAAACGGCCCTGTGACATCAAATGTGTACAGGAACGGATTTCAACCGTGAACGTTGGAGCTAGACGGGAATGGTCTAGGGCCCCAACATTCTAGACCCACAGCTGCGCCCTAGACATGGTGACTATCTATACTAATATAGCTTTCATAGATACGTATATTGAGTTTTTCATACTGAAATTCACTAGCATACCTTTTAATCTATTACGACAGAGAGCCACAAAACTCTATTGCCCTCCGGAAGAATCAGCAATGGCAGCGGCGAATGTTAATACAAAGACGTAAGCGAGAGCCGCACCGGAGTCTACGTGGAGACGGTCAGCTGCTTATCGCCGGTAAAAAGCGTGCCGCAAATTCCGTCCACTATATATCTCTCGTATTTGCCAGAGATAAGGGTCCGGCCCCTTACGCTATAGTATCCGAGCTCTAAATTATCTCTCACGTATTCAATGAACAAATTCCTCAAATACATCTTTATTGCGTACTTGGTTGCCAACTACAAGCAGATTCCCGGTGCCTACTTTGTGAGGTTCTACTGGACATGTCTCCGGAGCTTTGGGTTCCAGCGATTCAGAAAAACTTATCCATTGGCCAATTCACGCGGGGTGGGCTCCCATAAGTTGGATTTGTTCCGCCCCTCTATCTTCAAGACCATGTGCTCGGTCTGGGAGATTGACATGTACTTGCACAAGGGCAACTCCACGTACTTTACCGAATTGGACATGGCGAGAACGCAGCTTCTCGGACAGCAGTTACAGGTGTTTATGAACAAGTGTGAGATCAACCATTCTGGCGAATTCAAGACCAAATCTATGAAGAACTGGCCGTGGTTCCCTGTTGCGGCGGTGGAATGTGTGTTCAAAAACGAAATCAAGGCGTTTCAGAAGTACGAGATTCAGAGCCGGATCTTTGCGTGGGACAAAAAGTGGTTCTTCATCCTTTCCAAGTTTGTATCGTACAAAAAGGATAAAGAGGGGAAGCAGACCGAAGTGCTCCACACCGTCTGCATCACAAGATACGTCATGAAGAACGGCAGAAAGACCATCAGGCCCCAGGAAGCGTTCGAAGCCTCGGGCTTGTGGAACGAGGAAGTGGAGAGACTCAACCGTGAGGTGTATCTTCCGCTTGTGGAGCACAGAATTGATACCGATGCGTTGTTTAACATGGATATGACGTTGCCACAGTAAATGCCAGGATGTAATATTTAATAAGGAAAGCTGGAAGTTGCAGGTCAGTAGAGGTGATTGATGGCCATTTGGTTCGGTTTAACCTGAAAGCTGGAACAATAAACTGAAATATGATTATTTTTGTAGGATAAATCGAGGAAAGAAAGGATGGAGAATGGTTTACAGGAAACTGAAACGAGGTAGTTATACGTCAACACCCACTCTAGATAGCCCATAATCCCCTAGTATAGTCTTAATATTCCCTTAGCAGTGTCACCACAATTGTGACAAGGCTCACCTTATTTTACTCGTCAACTATGGTTTACAGTTTCCTAACAGGCCAACCGTGACCTGAAAGTTTGTTGCCTGGTTATGCCCGCCCAGACTCCTGGCCAGGTACGCTATATGGCACCTAATTTACCATAGATATTATATACAAGGTTTACATTATTTTAATATCTAGAAGCCTCTGTACCGCTCCAGAACCGTCATTAATTTTATAAATATATCCAGGAATGAAAGATTATGATCGGTAAGTTTAGTGCATATACCAAAGCACGTGAATACCACGGTTACCCGTCTTCAAAATTCTCTTCCTCTGTATTCTCATTCGCCAACCGCCTACGCGAACTATCCCCGAGAATGCCATGCACTAAGAAAACTGAAAAATGGTACAACAGAGGAAACCTCGAAACCCCTTCTAGTGTACCAACAATTACATATCCAAAATGGCTGTCTTCAACCCATTCGCTTTCTTGGCCTACAAGAAGTTCCCAACCCCACTCTTGAAGCCTTACTGGCCATTCATGCTTGGTAGTAAGTATCAGCTACCGCGTCAGCAAGATGAGACGATTGAGGTTGAATGGATTTGATGGAGGGATACATTTTTCATTTCGTTACGGAATAAACTACAGGGATAGTTCAAATGAAAGAACCCGATATGTAATCAGGGGTGAATTCCACTATCGTACTATATGAACCCAAAGGCTTGAATGTGATTGGCCATGACATATACCCAAACCTGATCATGAACCCTGATTCCTTGTCATCATTTGTCTTTACTCACCATCTAACCCTCTCAACCTTTGTTCAACTTTCCAACTCCCTCAACCGTTTCTCTTGTAGACCCAACCTCTGCATATACTAACGCGCTTCTAGTGGCTGCCACCGCCGTCTTGATCAACCAGGCTAAGGAATTGTCCCAGGACTCCGACGAGTTCATTAACCACCCAAAGCACCCAAGATTTGCCAAGGGCGGTAAGGTCATCGACCTTGAAAACAGAGATTAAGTGACCGATGACACGTCATATGACTTGTTGCGGGGCTACTTACCACTAAAAAGATGTCGCCAACTTAACCGCGGCGGCATCTATTTTGTTGTCATGCGAGAATGAAGGTCTTTTTTATACAATATATTTCACTTTAGATTACATTTCCGTATTTGGTATACGACAATACAAACAAAAACATACGTTATTTATGACTTTGTTAGGGCTAGCAATGCTATTGAAAACGTGACGAGATTAACAGTTCTGGCACTGAGACTGTTGCTGAGATCAATAGTGAAGACAATTAAAGTGTTGTTGGCAGCATGAGTCGATTAGACATATTTATGCCTGTACGGCCGTAGAGCTTCTCCATAACGCTAACGATGCCAGGATTCCCCAAGAATCTTAGTCGCACCGTGAAACTCCAGTTAACCGTGAGTGGAAGCCATCCAAGGCATTGAAAGGTGAAAAAAAAAGACATTAACCGTCCCATGTATCTGGTTTAAAGAACCAAATGTTTTCAAAGCCAAATACACCATTCCCCAGTTATGGCAGAGACCAAATCATGGCTTTGGACGAGCCAAAGAGATTTATAGAGGTTGGTACGTTCAAACCGGTTTAGATACTTCACGAGTAAAAGAACTATACTAAGCATACCCATTGCTATGGAACCTATTTTTAGGTCGCAACCAACTCTTCGTCATCCATATCTTACGTGCCTTTGACGGCTACAGTATCACAGCCTCCTTCAAGTACTACTAGCCTATCCAAGCTTTAACCCAATACCATCTTATAAATGCAGCTAAACAGTCAAATACATAGTACATCCCAACCTTATCATATATAGTTCAACCCTAAAGATTGTTCAAGTCATCGGCATTGAATCCAAAATCGTTCATCACCGTCTCAACATCCTTCCAGAGCAAGTCGTTGTCCCAACTATCAATATCCCAGGAGCCGTCCAACGGGCCAGTTGTAGGCGATTCGTTACCAGCTTCAGGCATGTTCGGCGTGTTTTGCGTGGAGGAGTTGGCGGAGATCGTACTGACATGGCTGTTGAACTGTACACGTGGCAGGGCCGGGTAGACCGGCTCGTGCAAGCCGAGTGGCGAGGGGTGGTTGGCGGGACTCATTGAGCTGGCCGTGCGCGCGGCGCGCATGCGCGCTTTTGCGTCGCTCCGTCCCGGCGACTCGCCTAGCCCGGGCGACTGGCTTGCGCGCGTATCGGGTAAAATTGGCTGGGGATCCAACGGCACTGTCAGGATGATCTTCCGCGCGTCATTCTCGGGACGCAGACGCTTCGTGCTTGAGCCCGACGACGATACCGAGTGCTTGCGCGAGCTCACCGGCTGGCCCGCATCATTGACCGCCTCCTCGTCTGACGAGCTGTTGAACTCGTCGGAGATGAGCGCTACACTGGTGCTCGTGCGGCCCTTGGTCATGCTCACCTGTTGGCGCAAAATTAACAAGCAGTCGAAAAAGATGGAAGCAGACATCTTCCCGTTGATGGTCAAGCCAGTGCTCATCAAGTTTCGCGCGTTCATCAGGCCAAAGAGCTGCCACATGTTGCGCATGATCCCCGACGAGCGGTAGGCGAGGTCGTGCTTGAGGATAGATGCACGCAGGGCGAGGCGAACCGCCGCCAGGAACATTTCCTTGCCCGAGCCAAGGTCAAGCACGTCGCTGAGGGGGGAGTGGGAAAGTTTGGCAATCACACAGGCAGCCTGCCAGATCGTGAGGATGTAGACCGCTGGGAGATACTTGACAAAGCGCTTGGTGTGCTGTTGCGCGAGCAGACAGTGCTGGATGAGTGCGAGCGCGGCGTTGTACGCGCGCACAAGCCCGCGGTCGAGCTCGAACTGGGAGATGCGCGCAGTGTCGAGGAAGTAGTAGGAGAGGAGGTGGACGCGGCCGGCGAGGAGTTGGAATTTGCGGTACGCATCGAGCCTAGACCCGGTGCCAGCTAGGTCTGGCTTTGGCCTGGCATCTGGCCCGGCATTTAGCCCCTTACCTCGCCCTGCCCGCACCGCGCCGCCGTCCAACCTCTCCTCTAACTCGTCAAACTGTTTCCCTAACACATGCAACAACGGCAACCGCTCCGCCGGGTCCAAAATACCAAGCGTGTCCGTTCTCTCCGAGTTTAATGTCTTTGCCACCTGGTCCTCCATGTGCGCAATCTCCATCATCTGCTTCAAGCTCTCCGGAAGCGGATGCTTCGCCGTGTGCAACACCGATGTGTCAAACGAGACAAAGGCCGGAAACCCAAAGGCCGTGGCAATGATTTGCGAAACAATGTTGCAGCTGATCCACGTCTGGAGGTTTTCGCCCGAGAGGAGCGATGGCGTGGACTTGCCTGAGACCACCGAGTCGTACGAGTTGCCCGAATTTCCGCTCGGGTGGTGGATCCCCAAGCGGATCGCGTTGAAGACGGCCGTCCCGACGGTCGTCCATGAGGTGTCGGCGCTGAGAGAAGAGGTGAGTGGCGGCCAGAACGTCCAAAGGAGAAACGCCTGGACGGAGTAGACCAGCGAGTCGTTGAGAATGGGCTCGTCCATTTCGCTGGGGTTGTAGCGGGTGATGGGCGAGATGGTGATCTCGGCCAAAACCGACTTGAGCACCGGCACGAGTTTCATGAGGAGCGCCGGTGAGTCTGGCGCCGCGTAGCGACGGAGACCTGTGAGCATCACGGTCCAGAAGAGCGCGGGACAGAGGCGATAGGTTCTTGCCGGGCCCTTGTAGACGTCGACCACGGGCAAGATGGGATGGTAGTTGTTGACGTATTCACGGAAGAGACCGGCGATTTGGGAGGGAGAGAGGGAGACATCGCCAATGGTTTTGGCCTCACAGGCGAGAAGCTCGTCGGGGAGGTCGTAGACGGGGATGGTGTAAGAGGAGGAGGAGGGTGCGGGGTGGACCAGCCGTGGCCCTGCCACGGCGGGGCGACTCGTCATGTCTGCGGCGAGGGCGAGGCTCGGCAGATTCTGGAACCCTCCTCGGTGGTCTTGGACCGGCCCAAGACCTATAGGGATCTGCCCAGGAACAAGAGGTATCTGTCCTACGGCAAGCAGCGAGCCCACAGCCGGTGTGCCGAACTGACGCAATGGCGGCATCCCTGGCGACGGATGGCGCGCGCTGGGACTACTGATCCCCGGCGACATGTGCGCGGGTATCGGAAGATACGGCCCGGGGCTCGGCACGTGCATCTGCGGGAGCATCGGCGAAGCGCGTCCTGTGCTCCCAACACTATGTATGTGAGTTGTGTTCGGGGTGCCTTGGTTGAAACTGCCATTGGAAGTGCCATTGGCGCTATAACCGACATTAAACCCGCCTCCATTGTTGTTTGTATTTCCCGGAGAGGCAAGCGATTGGAGAAGATTTGCCGCACCCGCTTCGGTCAACGTTTTGCGCAACTCCTGGAACTCCTTCTCCATCTGCGCGATGCGCGCACGCTTGTACGTGCGCTTGTAGTCGGATTTGAGGGTACACGGGAGCCCGCGCTTCTGGCAACGGGTACACGGACGCGGCGTCTGTTCGTGCGCGTCACACTTGGACTTTTGCTGGCGGCACTCGACACATGCCATGCGCTTGTTCTTTTGCTTGTCATCGTCGTCGTCCCGAACCGAGGGTGAGGATTGCTTGGCTTGTGGGGCTGTGAAATGCCCGTGCTGGGTGTGGGCATGTTCGTGTTGTTGGGTGTGAGCATGTCCGTGCTGTTGGGGGTGGACTTGCCCTTGATCATGTGGCCTCTCCAACATGTTCCTCTGCTGGGGGTCGAGGTTATCCATCTTGGTCATGAAATGTTGTTTAGATCTCTTTGTGTCAGCCACTTTTATTTTTTCTACGTCAATGTCAATTGATGTTGATCGGGGCTAATTTTTTTCGTCACGTGTAGCCCGACGCGCCAGAGCCTGAAACTCGGTGCGGCTGGGCGGGGTGTTGATATACCCTGGGCTTACCCGTTCTGATCCAGTTTCAAAAATGCCAACTTGTACGCCTAAACACCGTTTTGTTCTTGGCCGCAGGTCGAAATAAAGGACTGAGGATTTACCGTATAGACGTGATGGTTGACTCAGAGGTTGTTGATGTACAGGCCGAGATGGTGGATGGGTATCAGCCGTGCACCCCGGGCTCGTACTTATGTCGGATTTCTGTAGGACAAGCTTTTGGAAAAAAAAAAATTGGAGCTTGACCCGAGCAGTATATATTCTCAAAAAGCTGGGTGGGTTATTTTGACTTCCTGGAGGCCGAATGGTGGTTTCCATTTCCTGGAGGCAGTTTCTGTCTGACAAGGACAGGCGAGAAAGGCATGTTTGTCGGGGAAAAAGGAGTTGTTGCTGTTTATAAAACGGAGGATGTTATTTTTAGCGTATTAGTTTTATAGATGGCGATGATAGTATTTATATACATGATTGTGGCGAAATAAAACCAGAGATTAATTCCCTGGTGTATGTCCGGGACTGAAACAGAGAGCAGTCTGATGGAAGCGAGAAGGGGAATTTCCTAGAATGAGAAAGTTACCCGGAATTTAAGTTTAATATTGACTCAACCATTAACAATAGACTGATGCCTAGACTGATGCCTTGACTGATGCCTTGACTGATGCCTTGACTGCTGTTTATAAACTCATTCAAACTCTTTGGCGAAAATACAAAAACGTCAGTAGTTCTGGTATTGTCCTTGTAATTAACCATGGACCCATAAAAGTCCTGGAACATACTCCGATTCCGTGATTTAATAATTTATCGACCTTTAGTCTTCTGGATGTCAGATTACAGAATTTTCGTAAATAAAAGCGGAACCCGTGAACATACATTCTCACATAGGCCTAAGCTTGGCCAGTCACGTGCCATAAAATCAACATGAGACGCGCCCTATATTCATCCCAGCTTCTTTCACCTCTACTCTATCGACGCGCCTTAGTCTTGTCTATGTCGCATCCGTTTACACAGCTGACCGAGAAACGCACGGTGGTTCTTCTGGTTGGATCGCGCTTCATACGGGCCGGGTTTGCGGGCGAGGCAGTACCGGAGATCCAAAGCTCCACTTCCGATTCGACCTGGATTCCTACCCAGAACACAATATACGTATCTGGCAGCGGTAACCACGCGCTAGACCACCGGAGGAATATCAAAAGTACCCATCTAACCCCTTTACACCTCCATAGTACCGATTTACACCGCCGACGGTGGCTCTGGAGTTATGACATGCTCGCAGTGGCCAATTCCCAACACCAAAACTACTTTGACGCCATATCCAGGCACTTGGAACGCTTGCTCTATGACATCTACACTGATGAGTTGCTTGTAGATCCCAAGAGCTGCCAGGTGATTGTGGTTGACCCCGTTTTGTTTCCCACACCCTTGAAGAGCATCCTCACGGAGGCGTTGCTTCATCGACTACACGCTCACTCGGTGGTCTATCTCCCGGAACCGGTGCTCTCGTGTATAGCAGCTGGTACGAGAAATGCGTTGGTGGTGGATCTCGGCTGGCACAATTTCACGGTTACGCCGGTGTACGACCTTAGAATCATCCACAACGGGTTGAAAAGCACAAATCGGGCCGGGATGAGACTTCACTACGAAATGGTAGACGCACTGGGAGAGTCAGATTTTGGTGCAATAGAGAGTCTCATTACAGAGGTGTGCTACTGCGACGAGCTAGGAAGTGAACGGCCTTCAGCGCCTGAAGACTCTGAAACGTTCTCTACTCGGCTCGGAGTGTCCATTCCCAACCATTTGCGACACCTGGTACTTGAAAAGTTCATGTTCCCCGAAACTGAAACCCCAGATGACGAGGAACATAGCTTACTAGACATCATTTCCGAGGCTTTGGATACCTTGCCAATCGATGTCAGGGCCACCCTTTCCTCTAGTATTGTCTTTACCGGTGGATTGGCAAACATCCCGGGGTTGAGAACGAGAATTTTACGGGAAATGAGGGGTAGGAAACCAGGTGAAGTTGCGGCTATTTCGGGGTTAGGTCCGTGGGCAGGGGCTAGCATGTACTCTAACTACGTGGCGAGACCGCACAAAACCATGGAGGTCCGCAGAGACAAGTATCTCGAAGCGGTGGGTAGCTACCCTATGCCTGATTGGCTCGAAAATATCTACCGTAATCCGATATTGGAATGACCGGACTCATGCGTGCTCCCTCACATATCCTAGTGACTGGGTCTTAATGAAAACTCTCAAATCCTACAAACCTCCTGAGAAATAGAACCTTTAGTGTACGGCTAATTAAAACTGCCTATTCTTTATCTGGTATAGGCCCGCCGGGAATCCACTCGGCTGAGGATACAGAGAACTGTGCCCACTTGAATATGTCCTTTTAACCAGATTCACAGTGTTGCTTCTCAGCAAATGGCTTGCCTGAGCCGGGTCGGAACTAGACTTGGAGCGGAACTGGTGCATTTCAACCCCGTCACTACTCTCATGCCTCCCTGCGTGTCTTTCCCGAGTAGAGTCCATCCAGTATTCCTCACTGTTTTGTGGATCATTGTTGGCCTGTAAATGCTGCTCACCATCGTCTGTATCATCGATGTGGACGTACTTGGCCCAGGGATACTTTCGGTAAAGATCGTCCGTTCTCATATCACTGGTGGGGAAGAGCCCTCGAATTAATGACCTCAATCGGTAGCCAAAGTTAGTCGTTGACTCATCTTTCTCTTTACGCTTGGCAAAATAATCGTCCTCAGTCGTGATTCCCATTTCTTGCATGAGAATCGCCATAAGGGTGGCTTCGTCGTTTGCTCCGGGCCCAAAATACTCCGGTATATCGTACAAGGGACCGCAGGCGGCAACCGCACGCCTTTCGACACTGCTCAAATCCAAGGGGGTTCCATTACTTGCCAATGGCTCCCCCATTGGTTCAATGTGCACCGTTACAAAGGGAACTATTGGTTCTCCTAGTTGGTATGAGGGGGTTACTTGTCCTGTAAGGTTTCGGGGAATTTCACCTGGGACGGAAAAGGGTGCCTCAAAGATCTTTGATTCTTCCTTCACAATACGGAGACTGTCTATAGCTTCGTCTTCACGTAGTGGTATCTCGAGAATGCTAACATCTGATTGTCGGGAGATTTTCACCTCGTCGACTGACCGCACCAAGGTCTGGCTGTTATGTGACCTACTCAAGTCTCTAAGTACTGGCTTCACGGTCGCTGCAAAAGGAAAGGTCAGTCATTAGTCTATTTTTAAGCTGAATGCTTTACTTACAAGCTGCCAGGTGCAGCCGGTTGGATTGAGATCCAAGTCCAGCGGGCCCCTTGAACGAGCCGGGCATTTCATACTTCAAATGGTTTAGCGGGGGTCTCAAGGTCTCGAAGCGGTTTTCGCTATCCGTCACGTTTTCCTTACTGTTACTCATACTTGAAGGAGCAGAGTTAGCGTTTGGACTGGCCCTTGGGGCATTCTGAATGCCAATCGGAGACATACGCAAGGTTTGGCTCATATTTGGTTGTATGTGTAAACTGATGTAGATTATTAGAATGGTATATATCATTATGGGCAATAATTTGGTTTTTAATGAGGTGCATGTTGCAGATGCCACAGAACCAAACGACATAGTGCATATGCATTAGTGGAGTTGCTCAAAAAAAAAAATGCCTACCGGAATTATTGAACCATAATAATATAACACATCCATAGCCAGTATATCGAACGTACAGATGCCAAAATCCATCATACTTTCACTCGTTTGATACGATAATGTATACTATTAGATTATTGATTTTGGTACAGTTCAATAATAAAGTTATACGTACATCTTTTAAGGTATGCTCTGGCCCTGAGGGTAGTTTAGCGTTAGACCTTCGGATGGTTAACATAACCCTATAACGTTTCTTGAGTCAAGCTTCACACATGCTTGATACGGCATATTTCGGTCAAGATTCACATATGCTTGATACAGTATTAATTTTCGGCCAGGTGAGATACAATAGCTATATTATAGATTTATTCTCGTAGCTATATAGTAATCTTAGATAGCATCAGGATACAAGTGCCTGCTTGTCTCTATCAGCCAGGTGTATATACATATACTCAGCAATCCCGAATTCCGCCATAGGCAGTGACACTGCATTTTGGAATTATGTTTCCTCCACAATGAGCAGGCTACCTGGCGCCACTCATGCGCCTATGTAGCTTTATTGATTCCAGCAGTGGTCATCAAGGTGCCCACGTAGTCCTGGAGATACTGGTTTTCCACCTCATAACGCGCGCAGGACCGCTGGGTGTCCTTTGCCGTATATAACAAAAACCCGAGGTGGCTTCTCAACTCCAAGATCCGCTGCACCGCCGCCTCGCGGGCTTCAACTTCGCTATCCAAGGGGGTATGTGGAAGATCAGACATGTCAAAGGATACCACTTTCGAGGATAAATAATAGATGGTGGTTGCGTCAGAAAATAATAGATGGTGGTTGCTTCAGAAAAGAATAGATGTCTGCTTCAGAAAAGAATAGATGTCTGCTCCAGAAAAGTATCGATGAGGTCCGTCTCAATGAGGGTGGAGAAGTTGAGATAAATACTTTATATGCCGGATATATCACTTTTATGGCTGTCATACCCCCAAAACCAACCCATTGGCAGTGTATCCCTCATAATTAATGATCAGCCTTATCGCCTACGCAAACAGAATAAAGTAATTCCAACTAGTTTTTTCCCGTGGTTTCCCAGCCTTCAAGCTCACAAGAAAAGACATTCAACTGCAAAGGTTAGCTTCAACTCCTGCGGTTGTGGGTATTTCTCATCCAGCGCGCGCCGCACGATGCAAGAATTTTTTTTTCCGCAGGAATTTTCCAAATTTTTCACTACACTTAAACCACACAAGTTTCTGCCTATCTACCCTCTCTTCCACCACATTTCACACACGCACCATGGAATTAGCCGTCTCCCACGAAGATACCGACATTTTATTGAAGGAAAAGAACATCTTGAATGAAGATGTCTTGGACAAGTACCGTTTGGCGGGCCAGGTCTCGCAGACCTGTCTCGTGTACATCACCAACTTGATCCGCGACTCCTACCACTTGGGCACACACAAGCCGTACACCGCTGCGGAATTGTGTCTCTTGGGTGACTCTTACCTCAAGTCTGCGCTTGAAACTGTCTACAAGAAGGGCTCCAAGGCCGTCAGAGAGAGAGGTATTGCCCAGCCAGTCACCATCGAGTTCAACGAGATCGTCGCCGGCTTCTCCCCCGAATTAGACGAGGCCTCCAACATCACTTTCAATGCCGGTGACATTGTAACTATCACCTTGGGGTGCCAGATCGATGGGTACACCGCCAACGTGTCCCACACCATAGTCATTTACCCACAGGGCCAGGCCGATGCTGAGACCCAGCAGGTGAAGCCGGCCGGCCCGTTGTTGGGCGGCAAGGCCGACGCTGTCTGCGCTGCTCATATCGCTACTGAGTCCGTGATTGCGCTCGTCGGTGCCTCTTTGGCCCCAGAAAAACTTCCAGCCGCGCTCAACGCTGGCTCCGTCGTCACCGGTTCCCACATCAGAACGCTCGTCAACAGCATTGCGGAGTCCTTCAACTGTGTGGTTGTTCCAGGCTCTAGAATCAGAAGAATCCGCCGTTTCTTGGCCGGCCAGGCTGAGGGTGTGGTTGCCGAAAAGGAATACAAGGGTGTTGTGTGGTCCGAGTCCGATCAGGAAGAAAAGTTGTTGAACATGTCCACCAAGTACTCCGCTGATGCCTCCTCCGAGATGGTCAAGTTCGACAAGACCCACAACTCCGGTGTCACCTCCGACTCTGCCATCCCTACTGACGAGTTTGTCGTCATTCCGGGTGAGGTCTACATGGTTGACATCAAGATGGCCACTTTGAGAGACATCCAGGAAATCGGTTTGGTAACCTTGGAGAACGTTGACCAGTTCACCGGCAAGAACCACAACCAAACCACGTTCTCCGCCAAGCCAAGCATCTACGTCAGAGACTACGCGCTTTCCCACCATTTGCGCCTCAGAACCTCCAGACAGATGTTGTCCCAGGTCGACAGAGAGTGCTCCGTGTATCCATTTAAGTTGTCCCACACCTCTGCCAACTTCCCTGTCGATGAGTCTAAGGATGTTGAGGCCCAGATGAAGGCGATCAACGCCGACATCCAGCAGGCCAGGTTGGGGCTTTCGGAGTTAGTCAACAGACACTTGGTCGCCGCCAGACCAATCCAGGTTGCCAAGTTTGTGCCCTTGCAGATCATTCTCAATACCGCGAACCCTACCGGTGCCCGTGGGTTCGATGCCGAAAAGCCAACCCTCCCGGGCTTGGAATTGCCATTGCCAAGATTGGGTGTTTCCTCCTTGAAAATGAAATCCTTGATGAAGAACTCGATTGCGCTTCCGGTCGCCAGAGAGATGGCCACCATCGTGTTGAACAATACCGGTGCTACCAGTCAACCGGAAGTCTTGAGATTAACCGGTGGTAAGACTTCTGTTCCGTCTTGGGTCCACTCTGACCTTCAGTTGAACGGTGAGTTGGCCCAGACCGTCTCCCAGTTGATGCAATTGACCCAGGGCAGATTTGGCATCAAGGTCCGCGAGTGCCAGCCGTTCAAGCTCCAGAAGACTGCCACCGAGTCCATGGACTTGGACTAATTTCAACCACTGTACTTTTATCATGCCAAGCGCCTTTTTCGATCTCTTTCTGTGTACAATATGGACTAGCAACCTGTTAATTTTTGCATTCTAGTGGCGTGTAGAGCTGCAATAACTAACGTAAGCCTGTAGAAACTGACAAATAGGATTCTATTCTACGAGCTGTCATGGTGACTTGTGATCTAACGTTGCGAGATAATCTTTATAAGATCCGAGCCGGACGGCTGCAAGGTGAGTCTGAACTGCGATTAGAGGTGGAGTAGGAGCCTAGCCATATTCAAAAGACTCTGGTTCAGCAGCAACGAATACAATCGTTTTATAATCAGGTATAGCTAAAGCCTGTCACTAGTGGTCGTCACCGGAAGATTAGCTTGTCTGATTCTAGTATAGGTGCAAACAAAGATGCAAGGGGAGAAAACATCAATATCCAACTGCAAGGGTGGAACCCATAAAAGGTCGTGAAGTTTCCATAAACCCATAGCTTCAAATCCTCCAACCTGATTCCTCGGATTCTGCCTTCAGAACCCTTATTGCGTCCTTACAAAACCTGAAAGAAGCCTCTACAGGCAGACCAGAGAGATGCCGAGTTACTTCCAACGGTATGGATCAAATCACTCCACAAAATTTATAATTTCCACGTTTACTGGACCGAACTTATCAATACAAGCATGGTACAAAACATCCCCATATCATGATCTACCGTTTTGCCAAGCTCCGTCCCGATTGTCCGTTCATTACGTACAGGCAGGCGGGTTCACCACCCGGCATGGGTTGTATCATTGCATCCCCAGAGCTGGTAGCCTCAAGAAACTCTTTCCGCTGTTTAATTTTTATCCTAATTATCTAAATAATGTTAGCAAGCCCCGGATCTTTCTCAGCTCCATCCCATCGTGAGATACCCAACATTTACCAGCCAGTAGGGCCTAGAAAACCGTACTATACGGTGATGGACTTGGCACTTGCATGAAAATACAAATGAGGATGCCGATTCCAACCAATGCCGTTTTATCATTTGTCAGATGAACAATTCTTCTTATTGGACGGTATGAGGTGCCATATACGAGGGGCCCGATGTATTATGCACCTCGCCGTAAGCAGCCAAGACATCCCGTTAAACCTAGATGGGAAGTCCTAGGCTTCCAGCTGGGTACCGGGGTCCATCGACTTCAAACAAGATGCTTTCTCAATGGTTCACGCCAAAAAAAAATACGAGCTTAAAGAGACTGTTACCGTGCCTACGGAAACTACGGCAAGTATCTATGCACTTCAAGGCGTATTACCGTTCCCGCTTCCGTCTAGTCTCCCCAGTTCGCGGGTCGTTAAGATACTGCCGGAGACCTATTTTAGAGATGTATCACCCCGCGTATACCCTGCCAGACGCAGACCTGGTAAAAGACTCTGTAACGGCTGACCGGTAGTTTGCGTATAAACTGAGGCCAACGGATTTTATAATTCCAAATCAAGGCTCCTTAAGCTTGGCTGAATGCTAGATTCCGCAGAATTAAGGCCATGTGCCCTCCGTTTCGCAACCCCCGCCGATCACCAATGGTTAGAAAACGCGTTGGCTTGCTGCATGGAGGCGCACTAGCGCGCTACTTTGCCGGGCCGGGTGAACCGTGGTAAGCTGGAATGACCAGACAAGTCTTGTAAAACGTAGTTTCATCTGTTGCACCCCGATTTCAGATGGAGCCTGGCGGAAATAGCCCCGATACTCCAAGGTGTGGCAAGCTCTATAAGCCCCGTCTTATTGGAGTATCGGGGCTCGCAACTCCACTGTCGCCATGTGCTGCATGGACGTGGAGATATTTCTTTCTTTTTAATCCTGCACCTTGTCCGACGGCTTTCCATTGATTTCCAATTGCCTAATACAGCGATATAGAAAAGCAAGATCTAGCGTTGGCGCCCACACGACCGGCACTGCCAGCAACTACGCCTCCAGTTTGCTATTAATATCCCGCGTGCAGCAGCTATGTCCTGCACCGAAACGTCGAAAAAGGTCGTCGCCGGCCCATTTCCCCCCTTCGAAAACCGCTAACTTCGAAGATGTTTATCGTCTTGCCCCGATTCGAATTCTCGCTACACGTAGGCAAAACACACTGTAAAGAGACTGTATATCTACAAACCCAGACTCCTTCTCTCTCTCCCCTAAAAGAAATCCTCAGTATTTTTTTCCGCATCCATCTGTATGTATATTTTGCTTGATTGATTGATAATTGCACGGCTGCTGGGCGGCTACGGCGGATCGAAAGCAACCAAGAAAGCCACCAGAGCCTACCCAACCCATTAAACTGCTTACTCTCACTGTTCTTGTGATTGGGGGAGGGTGGCTAGTCCTACTTAAAATGGTTGGATGGCAAATCTGTCCAATAAGATTGGGCGGCTAATACGCCACTGAGGGACCTGCCGACAACAACGCCACTTTGTCCTTTCGTCATCGCATCGTGAAACCCAATGCCCTGGCGATTTGAACGCTGTCAATTCTCGTATTCCACGTGCTTGGAAGGTACTCGTGGATAAAAGTAGCGCCGCGCCGTTGTCAATCACTTCCACGGTTCAAGACTAACCCCTCTAGATAGCCATAATGTCCACCTCCCGCGAAGATTCCGTCTATTTGGCTAAGCTCGCCGAGCAAGCCGAACGTTACGAAGAAATGGTCGAAAACATGAAGGCCGTTGCCTCTTCCGGCCAGGAGCTCTCCGTTGAAGAACGTAACTTGTTGTCTGTTGCCTACAAGAACGTTATTGGTGCCCGCCGTGCCTCCTGGAGAATTGTCTCCTCCATCGAGCAGAAGGAAGACTCCAAGGGTAATGAGGCCCAGGTCTCTTTGATCCGCGACTACCGCTCCAAGATCGAGGCGGAGTTGTCCAAGATCTGCGAAGACATCTTGTCTGTTTTGACCGACCACCTCATCCCATCTGCCCAGTCAGGCGAATCCAAGGTCTTCTACTACAAGATGAAGGGTGACTACCACAGATACTTGGCCGAGTTTGCCATCTCTGAGAAGCGTAAGGACGCCGCCGACTTGTCTTTGGAGGCCTACAAGGCTGCCTCTGACGTTGCTGTCACCGAGTTGCCACCAACCCACCCAATCCGTTTGGGGTTGGCTTTGAACTTTTCCGTCTTTTACTACGAAATCTTGAACTCCCCAGACCGTGCCTGCCACTTGGCCAAGCAGGCCTTCGACGATGCCATCGCCGAGTTGGACACCTTGTCTGAAGAATCCTACAAAGACTCCACCTTGATCATGCAATTGTTGCGTGACAACTTGACCTTGTGGACTTCTGACATGTCTGAGTCCGGTCAGGACGAGTCTGCTCATGCGCCAGCTGAAGACAAGTCCGAGGCTAAGCCTGAACAAGAGTAAATTTCGAATACATATGTCTATTAAACAAAATCCAAAAAAAAAAAAGCAACCCCTTCCAGGAATTGGAAAAGTGGTTCGCTTTTTCATCCATGCAAATGGAATGGGCGGTCCCCGTCTTTATATTGTTTTTTTTACTTTCTGTTCTATCCTCCTTCTGTTCTTCCTATCCTTTTCTTCTGCCTTATCTTTTTAGTTTTATAATATAAAACATATCTTATTTTGGCTGGTTGGCCTAGGGTTTTGCCACCAGGGTTGAATGTGGACCGATTAGTTGGGCCACGAACTGGACTGATGTGGCAGTCAAGGACCAACCTTATTGTCACTTACATATACCAACGTTCTATGGTTTCCAGCAAACCTTAAGCGTGGACCTGGTACAGGGTGTAAAAACCGAAGTGGCTACACTTATTCTTTGGTGCGCGTATGTCATGCTTATGAGCGTTCGCTTACGGGAAATTTTCAGTACTGGTATATAGCCACAAGAAGGAAGTCTATATATTGTCATCGCTCTTGTGGTGTGCTTAATGGGTAATAGTGAATACAGTTGTCTAAAAGGGTATTGGCTGCTTGACTAGATATGTGGAAAGAGAGATGGGGTTCTTATGGGATATAAGGATAATCGTATCACGCCATCTGGATGAATGTGATCTGGATGAATGTGATTTGGATGAATGTGATTTGGATGAGCTGAAGGACATTTGCGATGTTCAAGAAACACCAAATAACTCCAGTTGGCGTTGACGTGGTATCCTTTTAGACTGGGTTGCGAAAGGCCACAGCGTTCAAGCTAAGCTCCTTCCACTATATTACTCTTCGCATTCCAATTTCTGGTCCATTCAAAACGCTGAATGTTATATACATTATCTAAATTGTGTAAAAGATCAAGGTTGATGCTTGTTTAGGGTAATACTACTTTGCGGTTACAGATGTGACCTGTAGTCCGCTACGAGCTGGTCGATATGATGAGCAAAACCTGAACTATATAAGATAGGAACGATATTAGTACACCAGTGACACTATTTTAAGAACTATTACAAGTGCTGAAACCCAAGCAGCACAGAATTGAAGATAAAATGTAAAAATTAAGTGATTAAAGCTCGCCTAGCGAGATACCGAAGAAAGTGTGAACATGAGAAAAGTGTGAGTGAGTGAGTGTATGTGTGTGTGTGTGTGTGTGTGTGTGTGTGTGTGTGTACTTACATCTTGTTAACTTCAAGAGAGGCAGATCTCTTCGGGAGAGTGACGTCAACTTCGTCACTAACCTCAATCTTGTGCTGCTTCAATTGATCAAACAAAGCATCCTGCTCCTGCTTGGTCAACTCATTCTTCTTCTTGTTCTTAAGATGATACATTGGGTTGAGTTCAACTAATCTCAAGCCCTTGGTAAAAGGCAAATGACCAGTCTTCTCTTCAAACAACATCAAAAGGATAATAACGATCAAACACAACCAGTAGATATTGTATGCAATAACAGAGCCATAGGTGGCAGAATTCTGCCAGCCCAAAAGAGCGTTAAACACATCCCACCCGTTGTCCACTTCGGGGTTGCAGCAGTTGACGTGCCAGACAGACTTGGTAATGTCATAGGTACCTGGACCCGAGCCGTTTTCGGATGCATCGCCACCGGTTTTCTTGTTATAGGTGTAAGTCTCAAAGTACCAGACACCACGGGAGAACAAACCGGCAGAAATCAAGTAAAGAATACAAGTAGAGACAACCAAGAAAACCTGCATACCAATGGTGGAGCCACCATAGTACAACACACCGCCCACCAAGATACCGGCGATCAAACCACAAACGACAGGAAGAGGGAAAGAGGTGGCCGGGGATCCGATACCAACACCACCAACAAAAACAACCGCTTCCAACCCTTCTCTCAAAGTGGTGATGAACGGCAAGATGAACATACAGTACTTCTTAGTCAAATATCCAATCTTCCATCTGTCCTTTCTAGCGGCAGGAGGCTCCAACAAAGCTTTAGCCAACTTGACTCTCCACTTCTCTTGCATCTTGTTGATTCTCAACATAGCAATCCCCATGAGGGAAATCAAAACCGTGGCGATAATACAGAAGATACCTTCCCATAAATCTTCAGACTTCCCCCAGATATCGTTCAGCAACCCGTAGAAAACACCTATGAAGGCACCACCGATGCACAAACAAACCGCTAAACCAGCGGCCGCCCCGACCCAGACCTGCTTTCTGAGTCGTTTGTAAATGACTGGGTCATCAGAAGCGCCCCCAAGACCCTGCTTTAAGAAGGCGAGAAGAACCGAAACCACGATAACGGCTTCTAAGGATTCTCTGAAGACCACAAAAAAAATTTGCACGTTAAATACATCAACCATCTTGTCTGCGATTTCTTTTCCTTAATTCAATAGATCAGAAACGACACAGTTATTTGTTGAGTAATGTGGTGTTAGGTTCCAGGAGGAGAAGCGATAAAGGAGAGGTTAATCTACTTATATAGGTTAGAACCAGAGAGCTAAAGTCGGGTGAAAAGATTATTCCCCTGACGCATATTCAAATTAATTAAGCTGTGGGAGATGATTGCCAAGACAAAGCTATATGCATCATTTTGCGGCACCCCGGGAGCCTATGGCACGAGATGATATCTACAGAAGCGGTATTTGTGAAAAATCCAGCAATTCAGGATCTAAGGCTTTTCACTAGAGATGTATCCCGCGTGCGTGAAGGTGGTTTAAGCTAATTACGCAGTACCAAGACGCTAATAAAAGTGCTTACTCTCCCACCAGCCTGGGTTCAACCAGCCGATCCCTATCCGCTTAACCCAGTTTTGTCAAAACAGGTAGTCGTACATGGGGATTGGTGCAGCCGCATATGCAGCATGCTGATCGGAAGCTCAATATCCGATACATACAGTACGGGATTGCGTGCACACGTTAGATATCGGACTTAGCCTACAGGATTGGCCCATTTGTGCGAGGAGGGATAGTGGTGTCATTACTTACTATTGGGCTAGACTGGGAGTGAATCATGGGCTGTACGTTATTGGATGCTCATAGTACGGTTCAACATCGTCAGGGTCTGACTTAGGGTCTGACTTAGGGTCCGACGATTGATGATCAGGGGGCCTTAAGGGT